GGCAAAGCGTAAAATCGCAAATAAATATCCACTTATCCGGCGGATTTGCTACGAGTGGATTCGCGAAGCCGCGAACGGGTCACACTTCTGGGCTTTCGTCGCATGACACGATCCGAAATAGGCCACCGGGTATGTGTACCGGGTATGTGTACCAACGGGCAGGGGCAAGTTGAAATGATCCCGCGGGCGTCCTTAAACCCTTAAACCCACCACACGATCTTCTCTAATACCATGGTAAGGGGTACTTTTTCCCCTCAGTATTTTTTTCCAGCAAATTGGTACACCAATAATTGACGTTGGAAGTTCTCGTTTGCGTCACGCACTTTGAGAGACTAAACGAGAAACAGAAAATCCGCTTAACGAACGATATCATGCGGAACACTACCTTATACAAATTGCGCGGAAAAGCAAGTAAAAAGATCGGTAATTAAAGAAACTTCGGGAAAAATGAGGTTTTAGCGTTTCGCTAAGGTATGTGTTGGTAAATCCGCAATTAAACTACTGATCTTGGAAACTGGTTAATGCAAATTTAAAAACTCCGTAGCAATTATTGCTTCTTCAGTAATCTATCTATCTAGCGCGCTAAAGTCAGAGTCATATGTAAGTTATGGAAGCTTATTGGTCTGTTTTTTTCGCTGCAGTTCTGCACTAGTGCAATAAGTTAGAATAAAACAAATATATTTTTTTTATTCTAACTTATTGTATACTAATTCAGAAGTGCAGCGTAAAAGAACAGACCATAGATATATAAAAACATCTCTGTCATGTCTTAGGCGAGATTGACTTAAACGTCATTCAACTCGCGAAATCTTGTTTCGCAAATCTTGCGTTGCATAGACGTGACGTCAATACTTGTGTGGGATTACTGATGTACCGCGGCAAGAACATTAAAGCTCAGAATCTCTTTGTGCCGTACATAATACAAATGAGCGACGCTATTCTTCATCTCAAATAGAATATTCAATCTACCGAATTGATGCAATGTGAAACTAACAACTTTCATAAGACAAGAATACAAGATACTATGTCAACGATAAATCGGAGTAAATTTTTATTTTGCTATCTATAATGCATATACATATATATATTTTTCCACGCATTAATATTTGTAATTTCTCGTATTTCTTATCATTAATTAATAATGAGTCTCCTTGAATAGTATATGGAAAATATCTTTCTCAAATAGAACTGTGCCATGAATTTGTCGAGAGCTTTTTAATTTTGCACATCAAAATGGAAATCTATTTTCTAAATTCTTTAAATTCATCTGTTTAAAATGAAATGCTTATTTCATGAAATATTTGTTTCCAAATTAACGCAAGCTCTTTACTCGCATTATCGAAGTCGTCCATCTTTTTTTGCGATAAAATTTTAATAAAATTCCTATGGCTATAACTTTCATTTTTTCTCAGCGTTCCGAACATTTTGACATCACAATGTGTCCTCTTATTACTCTTGCATCAGATGATACAGCGCTATTTTCCGTATATTGCGTTCGAACCGGCGAACCGCAAAAGCGGACTACAATGGAATACATTCTTCTCGTCTTCTGATAAACCAAACTTCACATTTAATGTAAATATGTGTGCGTTACTATTACATACAACATTATCTAGAAGCTCTTCTTTAAAATATTCTTTTTATTTATATAATTTAAAAAGACACATTCTCTCTGATCATCTTTATACGATATATTTTTCCATTGATATGATAATATATTAATATTAAATTTTTTTATTATTTTCCTAATCTGCAAAATATTTTTCCAACTACAAGAACAGCGATAATAAAGATTCATTATAGAGTATGAAATTAATGCATACGTGTGTTTAAAAACTAAAATGATTCTATTAAACTGCATCTTGACGTCTTTGTCGTCAAAGGAAAAGGAAAATCCTCTCTTTATCACGAGAGAAATCGATACTTTTATGCAAATTAAATAAAGTGTAAAGCGGGTGAAACACTAAGTATTTAACAATTTGAAATAGGGCACAAGAAATATGGAATACAATTGAGATGGGCTGAGGATATCCTTAATCAACTGTCTGACCTTTTAAACCAGAATCTCTCTACTCAGGGATTTTCAATCGTAACCCGGGGTAATCTTGCAACGCGAGAAATGTTATAATATCGTAAAGTTGATATCTGTATTTATTTAAATGTGTAAGTATTTTCGATGTGTCGAAAGAGTGCATGAGATCTCTTATACATCTCGTATACATTTTGATATGTCTCTTTTGGACTGCAATATTTATTTAAATGCAAATGCTACATTCGCTTATGCCACTTCTTCCGCTTCTCTATATTTGCTTTGCGAAATTATTCTGTAATAAATTTATAACTATGATATTCACAAAGAGCGATATCTTAGAACTACCTGTAACTAAAAAGGTTCTCGTAAAGAAACTTGATATCGTTTTCGTCAACGAAACTTGGCTATAATTGTAATAGTGAAATAAAGAATAATCATTTTTAACATTTTTAATCTAAATAATTAGCCTCTTTTATCATAAAAAATCTATGTTACGCAAAAAAAAAACATATATCTATAGATATGGAAAATAAAAAAGAAAATGTAAATTTTAACTTGAATTGATCTTTTGCTTGAGATACCGTTTATGAAAAACATGCGAGATCTCAATTTAAGCTCATTACGAGACTATGAATAATTTCCGTGATGGTATAATTGACTTTCTAAGCGTCGTCTCGGCGGAGGGGCTTTCTCCTTAATTGTTTGACCATCCACGCTGTTGGCTTTATCATTATTCTACGTCCGCAAATTACGCCTGTATTAATCTAATCGAACACGTGCGCCATTGTTCTATATTTTCATTGCCGGGAGTTCTCGCGGAACGCCATACTCGAATGCCTCCGGCAATTGAACACTCTCGAACACCTCTCCAGACTCTTGAAATCGCAATGCATGCTGATCTATTTCAATGGCAATCGTGCATTATGTTGCGTTGAAAGGCGCATCGATCGAGTAAACCAGTAAATGTGAAAAATACGCCGTGCATCTATCTGAATTTTTACCAAACGATGCAATTCTTTTTAGTCACATTTATGTATATGATGTGTATGTACATGAAGAAATTTTAATAGTTTTAAAAAGATCTATACAACGAAGAAATTACTATCATAGACTTTGTATGAGGCCTTTATCCAAATTTATATCGTGTTTACTATACAGTGGCAGAGCAATCAAATAATTTAATTAGATTTAATGCGATTTAAGCTTTATGTATGAGCTCCATGATTTATTGCTCGAGCTAATAACATTCTCGGCCTGCCGATAAATTTGATCTTGTCGAACTCGACAAATTTGACATAATGGTTAACAATGTATCACGGAAATAACCAGTTCGAAGCATATGTAATCGATAATGCAACGTGTAACCAACCCTGCATGGCATATCCTTGATATTTAAATTCACCAGTCCGTTCGTGACATGGAATGAGTCTACAATCGTTGTTCGCGATCGTTGTTCACAAATGGTTTCTGCTTTTAATCAATCATTGAGATGACTCTGCTGATAACCTTGCGTTAATATATGTAAAGTTAGTGTGCATTGTTAATATATGTAAAGTTAGTATGCATTTATGCATACAAATAGCTGAAGACGCAATATATGCCAACAATGTCAAATAATCCGTATTGCCAACAGATTTGCGAATGTAACTATGGTCGCATGTTACTCTGACAAACTATTTGCATTTAATTTCAGTGTTCTAAAATTTGCACTATGTTCCTCTCACTCTGTCGCATTAAGTTGCATTACAATTTTATTGCTACAACTTAACAAAAATTTTATAAATAATTTAATCATGAATGTAGAAATCATCTCCAGATGAACGTTTTATCTAACGTGACGCGCGATTTATTTTTTTTTCTTAGAATTTATCTGCTTTTATGAACTATTAAACACGTGTCTATTACAGGTCGAATTGATACATACAGCAGTATGTATTACTATGCTGTAATGGATCCTTCGATATCCTTGACGACTCATTCGCCGAACAAGTTGCGAAATTCCGTGGCTGTTGTCTTCGGTTTCCGATCGATCGCTAATGATTATCGTATCTGGATAATAGATTGAAGGGCGTAGTGTTACAAAAGAAAAAGAGGTGTTGGTGTGTTGTCTGACCTACTAATACACAATTAAAAGACAAACAAGGGCGCGCCGACCCATTCCAGATATCTCGTCGATACGAGATTTCGTTGATTAGCTCTCGTTTAATCGTTCATCAACTTAAACGGGCCATTACTTACGTAATGAACTTTCGCATAACGTACAATCTACTCATAGAATAATAAGAAAGGATATAATAATTGAATAACACCGATATAAGCTTACTTGATTGCTTCAATTTTCATAATAAGTTTTTACAATAAACTTGTTTCAACAGCATAAATATTAAATATTTTTTATTGATATTTTCAGCGTATCACACTTATCAAAAATATTATTGCTATTGTGCAGTTACATTTATATTTATTTTTGTTAATAAAAATACCGACGTGAAAGATTGCCTTTGTATAATGTGTCAATATTTATCAATTAAATCAGTTGGGTATCAGCAATTTCATGTAAAATTCTTTCATCAAAATATTGTCAAAGCTCTCTGTTGCAGATATTAAACTCGATAGTAACAGTCAATCCCCGTTTATTGCACAGAAGACTAAAGCCACGTCAAAGCATTCCTTTACACATAACATAATCTATTGCACGTGCTTCTACACGCTTTCAGGTCATATAATATAAGCTTATTAATCACACAATATAATAAATTAACGTTTCATTCAAAACTAATAATCAAAAAATTATCGTTTTGAAGTTATTAAAAATATTTGCGCGATGAAAAAAATGTTGCGAATCGACAGCGGCAACAACGATAGCCAACTATAAAAGGAAACCAGCGTCTTCCTTTCCCCTTTTTCACGATACCGGAGAATACTGGACAATATCGAAGATTAATTAATAATGTGTGATATATTTCAGAACGGACTGTTCTGAGGGTCGGAAGAAGCGCAGCTGCGAGAAGAAAACTCACTCGGCGGACAATAATCCAAGAAAGCGCCATGGAAACGCACGTAAGTTATATCGGGTTATACACGTGATTGCATGCTCCAATAATTATAATATTTATATTTTGTAGAATAATTGTGGCTTTGTTAATTTTGTCATCATCCAGTGACGTTTATCTCTTTAAATTAAGAAAAAATATCAAATTATTTTATTACTGCTTTGTTACGTTATGTGATTTAATTTTAAACACGTTATATAGTTTTATAGAATTAACTTGCGACCATGAAAATTGATTTCAAGAAAATGCACAAAAAATATTAAATATTTTTTTGTTTTGTTTACTTTCTATATATATTTAGCTTTCTTTTCTATATATAAACCTTTTTTTAAATATTATTTTCATAATATTCCATTAAATTATAAATCCGGAAAGTATAAAATTATAAATTGTTTGTCCCGCGCTGTACTTTATTAGTAAATTAAACAACGATAATTAAATTCTGATTCTGATGCTGATGCTGATGCTTCGCTAGAAAAAGAGGCAATCACGAATTTCGATCAAAAAAATCTAAAAACAAATAACAGAAGATTGATTCCGTCATCGTTTTCCGTCATTCGCAATCACGAGTAAACATTCTTAGTTTGCGTCTTTGCCATAACAAGAATCGCTATATTCTCGGTAATTCTTCCGATAAGAAACATTTGAAAGATTCTTACGAAAGAATTAAAGAAATACAAATGAGAATTGGAAAGTTTAAAAGAGATAGTAACAATTTTGTTGATAGTATAGCAATCTTAGCTTGTAACTCTTATTTGAATCTGCTTCTTTAATAAAAAAATATGTAGGTATGTTATATGTGTACATGTATATATAGTACATTATATATTATATACAATAAAGCTCGAGTTACGTAAATATGCACTTGATGTACGCTAATCCACATCACGATCTTTCTGTTCGTTACCAACGTGAAATCTTATGGTTTGCATGAAATCTGCAAACCTGGAACATTTGTTGAATGTTTCTGCAGATATCTTTAAATCTCCGCAGAGATAATTCGTTAAATATGCGTTAGAGACTTTATCGCAAACTATCAGCAAACGCTGGCCAACGTTTTCCTTGAAGTGTGCAGTAGAAAATATCAGAAGGGTCAGACGGATCATTTTACTTGTAGGCGGGCTCTCGGACGGCCTTTCACATGACGCAACTATTAATTTCATTTTCTGAAATACTCTTTGCTACAAGAATTCTAAGAACTTTCAACTTGGTAAAACTTGGATTATCGAGGCATAAAAACTTGAAAGAAATACAGTTTCAAAAGACCATTCCTGTTCTCCGTTTCGTTTATTTTGAATTTTGATTTTTCAAAATATTTCCGAATACAAATTTTTATTCGGTTTCTGTAAGTTTTTTAAGTATATTCCGAATTTACATAAAAATTTACTTAGCTGACTTATTATATTTTACAGAAAACTTTTTTGTGTGAATCTTACTAATAATAAGAACATAGTATAAATAAAAAGATAGAACATTTAGTATAAATAAACTTGATTTTTTAATCTAATTGTAAATTATTTAGAAGCAAACTTACTTAAAACGGAATTGCTATGTAAAAAGTGATCTATAACATTCAAAATATATAACGTCGAACATCTTGTACATCTTAATACTAGAAAATCTCAAGACTAGAATTTTTGAAAAATTATCTTTTTTCTTCGAAATAAATTGTATTGCCTAAGAAAACTCATGTAGTAATTTTTAAATAAATTCTTTTGTCTGTAACATATTTGCTGAAGATCACTTAATCATCAAGATTACAGTTATGCTATTATCTATTTCGCGAATAAAACGGTTTTATGTGACTCATCAAAAAAATTACATGCTAAGAAAACTTCAAGTGGTTTGTTGGCCGTAACAAGCATGCTATTTTCAACCTCGTTGCACTCTTGTTGCAGCTCACTCCATTCTTCCGTTTAGTTTAGTCGAAAGTGCATTAGCGCGAAGCATTTGCAACGTAAATATTATTAATATTATTAGATTTAGTATCGATCCAGCAATACTAAATTACTGCGTAATATACATTACTTGTCGAAATAGTTTCAGGTTTAACATCTAATATATAGATTTATTTAATTATAATTTGTGCATTTGAAAGCTGGGAAAAATTATTACATTTCCGTAACTTATTTGAATTAATAACTTATATTTGTTCTTCTTTTGCTTGTTTAAAAAATATCGGAATTCCTGCGATTTTTTAATTTTTCTTTTATTCAAAAGACGGGGAAGAAACTGAAAAGTTCAAAAACCTCTTTTAAAACAAAGATCTTCTGTAAGTTGCTAAGTAGTAAGTTTGCCAAGTAAATTTTCCGGGTTTAAATTAAAAATTTACATGAAAATCTTACAGAAACCGAACAGAAACAATGCCTTTTTCATCGTATTGATATTGTCGGCTATTATTGCAGCATTCGCAAACGTTTGACACGAATGCTATACTCTAGCGAGTTACTTCCGAGCTCATTCAGTGCGTTGCACGTGCATACATATATAATGAATAGGTACATATAATCGCTTCTACCAAACGCTTAGTGAATCATGCTTATGAGAGCTTACGCAGAAGCTTTGCGCGAATCATAAAATACTACCGTTTTTAGTACGCGTCGCACATCTCAAAATTTTCCCACATGCGTTTTCTCCGCGCATGAAAACATGACCACAGACGCGCTTTTAAGTACCCTTTATTGCTATACCCGCAAAACTTGGCGCTTTTCAGCGAAGTCAAAGCGTAACTTTGTCGCGAGGGTTCGTCGATTTCATAACGAGTTTTTCTCTGACACTTTCCCTTCGCGACGGAGAAACTTCTCTCTCGAAGAATCGTGCGCTGATTTCGTGTCAGTCTGACCAGTCAACTAAGTAGACCGTCGACACATTTCAACACGGAAAATGCAGCGATGTGGAAGTTTAGAGTTATCCTGAGCAACCTACCTTTTCCAAGTTTTTAGTACGTATAAATAAACAATCTCTTTCTTTCTTTCTCTCTCCCTCTTTCTTTTCTCGAAAAACTTTTATTCAGAGTTATTTCTCATTTTGTTCTCATACTTTTGATACTTTAATCTCGTTACTTAATGGTTTCTATGTTGAATGAAAGTTTTAATAGTAGATGGTAACTCAAAACCACCAAGTACATTTGCTGTTCTAAAGGACTAGAAACACACGCGATGTTTTGCATACGATGTGCAGCGCTGTTTGTGTTATGCTTCGTACAGAAGATGTTGCTTTATGCTACACTGAGAAAATTGCTGTGTGACACGCTATAAAAATTTTTGTGCAATATATTACGAAAATATTTTATACCGCAAGTTTGCTAGAACAATCTTTGAAAGCAGCACTCGAAAAACATTTCAAGAACAATATTCTCGTACTTGTTCAAGAATATTCCGTATCTTCAGTTAGAATTTCAAAAATCTTTGTCTAATTGTAAGTTTATTGAATTTAAATGAATCTACATCGATATATAATAATTCGCGGATTATACATATAAAGCGGATATCTGAGCGGACCAAATTGAACGTTAGAGAAACGATATCTCGCGCACGGAGATCTGCCACGAAGTATCAGCAATCGCTGTTATTGATGGCCGTCGTGTACCAAACGTTCTCGACATCGCGCTGACAAGTGTCTTCTCAGCAGGAAAAGCTCAAGTTCGAGCTCAAGCGAAATCCAGGTCCAATAGGGATGTTAGCCTTTCCTTGAATGACCGTTCATTTACTACCCCGAGTATTACTCTTGTATATACGGACCCTCGTTTACGTGATATGTGTTACAGAGAGATATGAGGGTCTGTTTCCGCCTACTTGTAAGTTATATATATAAGCAGGGAGAGTATGAGTATCTTTTCCGGGATAGAGTCGCGCTTTGAAATGTCTTCGTTGCAATCGAACATTTCCTCCAAAGTGGTACATCGAACGGTAGTAGATAAAGAAATTTTCTTACAAGATATTCGCAAAAAAAATATAGGAGAACAATACAGCTTAAGAATCTTAAGTTAAGATACAACTTTGCCAAATGAAGCTATTATTAAGAATTATAAGGTATCTGAAACAGCGAAAAAATATGCAAAATATGTACAAGGGTGTTAAGGGTTTAAGGGAATTTTTAAGTATTAAAAAGAATGGCTTTACTTTTCTCATTGAGTATGAAAAGTTCTACAAAAGTTTTAATATAATAAGAAGCAAAGGGAGAAAGACAGTAATATAAAAGCAGCTTGTGCTTGAAACATGCAAATAATAAATGTTTAAAAGAATACGTTTTTAAATCGTATTTCTTAAAAATTTCAAAACAATTATTCAACACTTTTGAGAATTGCTGTTTATTATGCGCTGTTTATTATAACGCATCAATATTTATTATTTACATTTATCTTAGCAAAACAATTTCTGCCGACGGCGATGACCCTTCATATCACGTGTAACATTCGCGACACTTGAGAAGGTTTATCGATTATACCGGCAGCTTCGCAGACAGTGATAAAATTTAAAACTTTTATACGGGCATTAGTACTCGTGTTGGAATTGCTCTGATTGTTGCGGAATGAATTTGCACGAATTTAGAGTCCGCAATGCGAAGGAAAAGGGGGATGCACCGCTAATTCTCCGAGCGTTATTTGCAGAGTTTATTTCGAGTACTTGACCTAGAATAATCGCGCGCGTTTTATGGGATCTGTGCGCGACAGGCGACATGCGTGGGAGAGCAAGTTAGAAGGAAAATAGAAAAATTTATCGCCTCGCCTTCACGTTGAAGAGGAGGAGGAGGGTGGCACGAGGAAGAATGTACGGCGAACTATGAAACCTTTGGAAACTTCCGGATGGATTTCTGCTTCGTATGCTCGAAAGAAATAGCCGTGCAAACGGCCATAAATCGTTTTCCCACATTCTATCACTTTCTATTTCTTTTGATGAGAGTTAAAGTTGCTTAGGATAAAATGTGGATGTTTATAATATAAACCATATAACTACCCTCTGCGTAAACTTTTGTTTCAACAAGCTGTTATTATTATGCTTCATTACAATTGAGAATAACAATAATAATAATATTAATAAGTTTGATCTCAAATAAGCTGATATTATAATGTATAAATTATTTGCAAATATTATATTCACGTCCTATCACAGGAAATATTGTACAATTTAGTTATAATTTATATATGTAACGATGCCGTTTTGCATATTAATTTGCAGCTTTGTAACCAACGGTTATATTACGCAAATGGATTCGATTATTGATTGCTGACAGTAGATAATTCTTAACTTTGCTTTAACGTTGTTTGACAAAATCCATTGTAATAAGAATTTCTGGACAGAAATGTCCGCCTTGGTAATACAATCAGGAATGTCGTCAGATGGGATTGTTGTGTCGCTGAAGTGTAGAGAAAACGACGGAGAGAAGCATACAAAATAATAATACAACGAAAGAAAGTGGAGTGAGCGCGTCGTAAATATAAAATGGGAGAAGAGGTTTTGTGTATTCATAGAGATGTTTTAGACATTTTATTGGAACACGTAGAATAATGTATAGCTTGGTAGCTTGAAGTTTACAGAAATATAAAACATGTCGAAGTAACGTGCAACACATAAATCATTGCAACATAAGTTTATTTAAATAATTATTGAGAAAGATAATTTTGTATACATTAAAAAGATCTAAATAAAACATAGATTCTTCTCTATTCTAACTCTTTTTTGTTTAAATTAAATTAGATGTCTTAAAGAAATAGACCATGTTTTAAAGAAATATATCATGATATAATATCCTTTAAATCAATAAATTATTATTAATACAACTTTACCGAGAAGTTTTGTTACGCACTGCCGATACTTTCAACGCAATTAATTAAAAAATGGTTATTGATTTATTACAGTTTAACACAGATACGTGTTATATAATTTTTTACAATAATTTATATAATTTGTAATTTATAACACATTTAGTTTGTTGTACGCATGAATTTGGGTCGACAGACGATTGTGATTCAGGAAGGATTCGAGTAAAACTCAAAAATATCACTACGAGACAGAACATACGAATAACACCTACATTTATTGTTCCTGAATGTTATATAATGCTTAAAGCTTAAATCATTAAAGAATTAAAAGTAATAATAAAAACAACGGAAGAACAATTGATATTTGAATCTATGCAAATTTTGTATCAGTTAATTATCTTCTAAATACACATACTACATTTCTACTTTTATTTGACCTCAAAACATAAGTATACACACACATGTATATGCTTCTTTTAAAAATAAAAATAATAGAAGAAAAGAACCACAAGAGATTATGGTTTTTAGAAAAGTTCCATCAGCTTTACTTAAATTTACCGCAAATTAATTAATTCTCTGCTTCTTTCTAAAAATCTCTAATGGGGTTATGATATAGATAGGGGAAAAATTTAATCAATGCTGAGTGATTTTGCATGCTGCAAGAGAATAAGCGGAAAACGACATTACAAGCTAATGAAAACAGGAAGGTGAATTTCTTCGTAAACCCCATAACACGCTATTTGAAAGTAAAAATTTGTTGGAAACAGCGGTAAATACTGGATATATGCTTAAAAATATAAATAGAAAAAAAAATATCCGATAAGCGTTTAACTCTGGCGTATATTTTTCTTCCTCGAGAAAACGAATCACGGAATTTCTCAAATTCCGTTACGGGAAGCCACAATAAAAGAGAAAAAAAATGCAGTTAAAACGAGAAGATACGGCTTTTACCGAGTTAAAAATCACAAAGGTGTTCATTCGGAGTGAGCTTTTCGCTTTTCGCTTTTCGCTTCGTGGAAACAGGCGCGAGTTAACGGTGCCTCGTGCATTTTCACGTTCCTGATGCGTTTTCACATTTCAATATGCCGATTCAATACGCACCGATACGCAAATTAAATACGGAGACTCGAAATATTTGTGCGATAACCGTATCTCGATTTAAAGCAAAATTGTTTTATTTAACTTGATTTTATTTAAACGAATTTTCTACCTGAAATGTATGGAAAAAAGGTTGGAGAACATTTCGAACGTTTTATAAACTGGTGTTTCAGAAAAGATAGAGATGGGTGTATATTATAAATATTTTAAATTAGCATGATATCGCGCGAGAGAACATTTCGAGTATTCTATGATTCAGTTATATACATGGATATGAAAATATAATCGAATAAAATAAACGCACTGTGCGTACTGTACAAATAAATAAATTGAACAATCTTTGATTGCAATGAAATTGCTGTCGTAGTCTCTACTATAGTAATTACTTTAACTGTAACGTCGCTTTAACCCTATCCCTTTTAGTTACAATTTCATATTTCTGTCAATAATTCTATCACACAGATAGTCCTACTGTGTTACGTTATCGTCTTAAATATGAAGTATGGTTTCCATCGTACTTTGCTGGTTCGTAATTCACGTATAGATTTTCTTAAAATGTATTGTTCCCCGAACTACGTAGTACGAAAATGAAAATTTAAGAGGCACGCGACTTAAATTTTGGGGAAAGATAGTCTTCAAGCAAAATTAAAAACGGAAATATATGCTCCAAGAACGATGTTCAAAATCAAACTGCGCATGAATTATTTTTATTTTTATAATTAAAAATTAAATATAATTATATGTTACATATAATAATAATAATGATAATAATAATAATTTTTATTGCAATGGAAAAAATGAGGCATCAACATATTGTTGCTATATTAAGCCTACCTGTTAACGTACAAGGTGGTATACAGTGTAATAGCGATATTATATGTATAATAAAACATTAAAACATTAGAACGTACACAACAAAAGTACACCCGGTCGCACACTCACGTACGCACGCAAATACGTAATCCTATATATACATATACATATATAATATAAATTCATGTTTACATTGAATCTGTTTTAGAGAAATGATAACATCGACCGAATCCAGAAGTTGATGATTGACAGACTGGAATCAGAATCCAAGCGTTGCGATCACGGAAATATATTGAGACCAGGTAAGCAGGGTGGGATAATATTTCGAAAAAATGGAACGCGCGAGAAATATCGTCGCGTGTCGAATACTATTGACATTTCGAGCGAGAGAACGATTGTGCGATGTATCACGGGGCTGACATGATTTCCATTAAAAGTGAGTGCGTCTAGTAGTAAGACTTACCATATGCGAACGATCTTGAATCCAACGCCTGCTGCGAATGTCACTCGCCGGCTGCTTTGTATCATTCATCATATCATAATCTCTCCATTCGCGCGTCTAACCTACTCGTGTCTGTCTCTGTATTAGGTGAAAATTACGACCGATCGTTAGATGTCGACTTGTTTTAATTAATATCGCTGTATTAGTTGGATACAAAACAATAGGCGACCTACGGGCCATTTAATTATATTGAAAAGGTAACGCGGTCGATCACAAACTACGAATAATTATTATTTATAATAGGATCGTAAATAATTACACTAATTTCTCCATTATTTTGGCAGCGTTACATATTAATAATATATTTCTTACGGCATTTACGTTTGTTTAAATATTATTATCGTGCTCGCATTATGTTGGCGTCATTTAAACATTTTTATGTATAATAATGATAATGATACAATCACGACTCCAAAATTTGAAAATTTTTCATTTTTTTATTTTAATTGCATCGTAGTGAAAGAGAATTTAAGTCGCGAGATCAATTCGACTTCTTTGTGTTCCTGCATGGTTCGCAGAAAACAAAATAATTTACGGTGGTTTTTTTTCCCCAAGTATCGCGCAATTCTGATAATTATAGTATTGGCGACAGTAAACAATTGAAAATCAACAGGTTGACAACATAAACTTGCATAATGCATGAATGCGGAAAGATTCAAAGATGACGGACACGCACGATGCACGGACTAATGTTAACCGCACGCTCTCGCACGTGTCGCAGCACACGATTCGCGTTTTCGCGCGTGTACACACGCGCGTAAGTAAACAGCATCCATAGAATGTCTCCGGAGCAATTAACGTCGCAATTAATCTCGCATTGCGATGCTGGCCCGTTCGAGCAGATCGACAAAATCAAACGCGAAGCTTATAGTGTGCCGCCATTAATTACACGAGCAGCATTGTGAATTCAGGCGAGAGTTTCACAAGTTTCATTTATTGTGTCGCCTTACAAAAGGAAGTTACACAGAAGTGTTGCTTGACACGCAAATTGCGTTGACGATTAGTTGTTTTATTAACTTGAATCTTAATTTGCACGCGTAAATCCTTTCAATTATTAAGGCGGAACGATTAAACACATTCAGAGATCTTTCAAAAGCATTCGTCGCAGTTTGATCTATTTAAAAGAGAACATTTTAAATTAATTGACGTTAAGATGGAGGATAAATGGCGAAAAGCTCCGGGAAATTATTTCATCCTTTACAACCTTTACAATTATTAAAAAAGAAAACAAAAAATTGTAATGCAACTTGAAAGAATAAAGACGCGAATAATGTCGCGATGTAGATTATAGTTCACACAGTTACACGAAGTTAGAAGTACTTTTTATAATTCTACTGGTTTACATAATTCAGTTTTACTATTATTCATAATTTTATGGAAAACCTAGATTTTAAACACAGCTCCCGATGAACCAATAAACTTTTTTAGTAGCCTTAGCAAAGTCTCGTGCATTGTCCTAATTATTATTTTAATAAAATTGTTTTAAATATTTTTTCCCAAACTTTCTTATGCAGCTATATATATATATAATGTAATTACCTATACATATATTTTGTAGCTTATTTGATTCAGGATTATAGATACCGAAAAAGCGAAAACGCTGTCGATACTCATACATTTTATATGCTTTTTTTCTTGCATTTTTAGTGTATTTGTTGATGTATCTATTTACTCTTATTAATATTTAATTATAATACTTTTTTCTCGCATTCTCAACAAAGTTATTATACATATGTATATAGCGCGCAAGGGAAATATATAATGCACGGCAGCGTAATTCACGGCTTATACGGATAACGTACGCGATAATATCGAATATTGTTTCAAGTGAATAGGGTAGCCTGCCACCCCGTGTGGCCTACTGTTCGCATACAGAGTCGTGGACCCTTAATATACATGTGATGATACAGCTAAATGCAATTCTATACGGATCTCCAAAACCTAATGGATATCCTATTCCTGTATATAAGCCGCGTGAAGCTCATCGCTAAAAGACCGGCAATCCGGATGACCACGTCAAATTTGGCACTTAGCTTTGAATCACGATCCTGAATGAACAATCCTAATCGTTCGGTGACCTATTATTCTCACCGCCGCCGCTGCGCCGCGCCCTGCCGTTTACGATAATGGCCGATTCACCTGACGTAACGCACAATATATTTAATAATAATACAGCGGGATATGTATAACTGGATCTGTATATCGTGACTGAAATCCCATCGTGCACTAAGGAACCAGATCTATTATTTCCATTCAGCTCTACTGAATCGCGCCAGAGAAATCCATGCGAATTAACATAGAATATTTATATGTACGTTTATGAAACGAATATAGTTTATAAGCGCTCTGCAAATATAAAGAACTTAATGTAAAAACTATCTACGTAGTATCTTTCCGAATCGTAATTAAAAATTTATAAACAGGACTGTAAGGACCCCAAAAAAATAAAAACGTTGGGACAAGATATTTCCCAACCATATTTTTTCTTTGCGCGTCATATATTGACAATAATAATAATTAGTTTGCTGCTTCAGATATCTTCGTCATTTATCTTTATACGCTAACATTTTGATGCAATCTATTCAGGCTGGTGTCCCGAGATTTGGGACAAGATACTATGTTGGAACTCGACAGCACCTGGACAACTAGCTGTTCAGCAATGCCCCTCTTACATCGTGGGTTTCGACGCTCATGTATGTAGTCATGTTAAATTCACCTGGATCGATCCTCGTGTAGATTTTCCGGAAACTATTTCACTGGTAAAATTTTATTTGATGGAATAATGACACCGGAACGAATTAATATTGAGATTCTCGATTCTCTTAGAACTGAGAAACTTAATTAGAACGGTTTCTCGATCTAATAACGCCGCTCTCTGATAGCTCTAAGATCCTCGCGAATCGACGATAAAATCCATTTTTCAGCTTTAAGTGATTGAAATGTCTTCGACACGGTTCGGCGACGTGTCTGAACGACTCCTCGACGAATTCGAGCTCCATTTTTCCTCGTTAGACAAAGCCTCGCTACGCGTCATTTTGTTTTACAACTCTTACGGTCGCGTTTAAATACATATCTTTGCAAATGATCCGCGAATTGAAATTCTACCTTAAACAATATTGATTTGAAACATAATTTGAAGTTAACCTCTATTTCGGTGTGCTCTCTCGTAGCTCGAGAAACAGCGATCTCTCCCGATATTTTTGTTAACGAATAATCATTGTCGAATTGATCGAAGAAATAAGAGGGAGTGCGTCTTTCAGGCATTCACTTCGAAGCAATGCATGCCGAACGGCGAATGGTACTGGAACGCCGAAACCCATAACACATGGACCAACTATACCCAGTGCTATCGAGATTCGCTGGTCACCGTCCTGATGAACATGTCAGACGCGCAGGCAAACAACGCTACTCTCATTAAGGTAAAGAAATAAGACCGTGTGACGACAAGCCAACAGTAGATTAATCCGTTTCGCTAAAAACGTAAGGATAAGTAAATTCGGAACCCTCTTCTTTGCCGGGTTTCCGCGGCACCGCTCGCGCCGTCGCGCGCCGCACCGTGTGGAAAACGACGGAGATGAAAAGATCGATCGGATCACACAGCGACGTGACGTCAGTTGGCTCTACTCATGAGGAAATGAGAGCCGTAAACGACGTTTTGTCCAGCGGGAGGGGGATGCGTCACGACGCTTTGCACTATTCACGGGGACCCCGAGACGTTGCTGCGGAGTTAGTTTCCAGACTTGGACGATAATGAACCGAGCGGGCGAGCAAATGAGCCAATAACTTTGTCGTAACAGTGTTATCGAGGAGATCGGGCGGAAAATACTGGAAAAATTTTTTCATCAAGAGCTCTACGCTTTATTATTAAATCAGACAGAATTCGGACAAATAGCGTCAAAATTAAGGCGTCAGCTTTAAAATCCAAATTAAAGGAAATCCTATTTTTTTAGTAATCACCTATCTTGTCTTTTTATCAACTTTTCAGTCTGTAAAGATTAGTATGTGACGATATATACAGCGAAAAATAACAGAGCAAATAATTTCTCGTTATAATTTTAGAGACGTTTACTAAAATCGCTCAATAATTAAGAGGATTAAATAATTAATATATTTGAAACACAAATTGACAGCTTTAATGCAAATTTAATACAAACTTGACCATAATTTAATACAAGCAAATACGATGGAAGCGTTTTTATCAATGCTCAATGCGTGAATATAGGACGACTATACAGTTTCGTTGAGGAGCTTTCGTAAAGCGACGACGAAATTATAACATAATAGCAAAGGATCTCCTTGAAGATCATAAAGCTAGCATGGAAGGAAATACACATCCGAAGACAAGGAATACCGTCAATATACTGTACAGTAGAGATCTGTATAGAAGAGAATTAGAGAGGTTTATGAAAGCCATAAATTAAACACAATTTCAATTCATAATTTGCTTTGCTAATAGAGATCATATAACGACATTGTTGTGGTAGCTTTGTCGAATAAATTAATTAGGAAAAGTCGCATTTGAGATTGCTTACATGTAAAAAGTCAATTTAATCATTTATTAATGTGTGTGTATACGTCAATAAATTTTCAAAATTATTTATATATATAATTTATAATGATACTTTACAGAAATTAATTTAATTATTGTTATATTAATTTTACAATTAATTACGAACGTGCGTTACCGGTTAATTATTTTATCAATTAAATTCTCATAGGTAAATGGTAAGTCAATAATTAATTATTTCCCATTTAGAACGCAATTGCATGTTGTAGAAATTCTTCCCGATCGTCAAGACCATCTCGAAACTCGGCTACTCAATCTCGCTGTTCACTCTCATCATTGCATTTTGCATTTTGGCCGCCATTAAGTAAGTATATTTATATAAATGTAATCAACACATGATTATAAAACAAGAGGTTTTGTTGCCAACATTTTCGATTCTCTTAATATATAAAAAGACTTAAAAAAATGTCAGATATCTCTTAAAACATTTTATCGTATTTTTATTGTTCCCAATATATCGCGTTGTAAAATAAGAAATTTAACGTCGTGGCTGCCCCTGAAAGAGCAATAAATTTTAGTGTCTTGTTTACGCTGATATAAAATCGCAAATCTTGAAGATCACCGAGATCTTTTCATCGGGGCACGATCAGTTTCGTTTCAAAGTCATATCGTACAATGTCTCATAGCACCGCATAAAGTCTCGCATCTCCTAATGTCCTAATCGAAACGTAATTCGCGTTGCCACGTTCAAGTTTGTCTCCCGTCGGACGTAGGAAATTGCGATGCCCACGGAATATATTGCACATGCACCTGTTCGTCTCATTCGTGATGCGAGCATTCATGGCGCTACTGAAAGACGTACTCTTCGTGTCCGGCATCGGACTGGCGGAAGCCGTGATCAAAGTCAACGAGGGTTACTGGCTGCTCGACGAGAAGGAGAGCAATTGGCAATGTAAGACGTTCACCAGTCTGTGGCAATACTTTATCCTGGCAAACTACTCTTGGATCCTGATGGAAGGTATATATCTGCACAACCTGGTCTTCCTGGCGCTTTTCACCGATTCCAATTCTAGCATCACAGGCTACGTCGTTTTCGGATGGGGTAAGTAAGATTAATCTCAGAAATTACCGTTAATTCTAAAGGATTTTCGCGATTTCAATCACATATCTCTACATTAGTTGTAATTTACTTCGCGCTCTTTAATTAATATAACTATTTTATCATCTTTTAAATCTTTTTGATGCTCGTTATTAAGAAAATATATAAGATAAAAACCTTCTTTAAATAAATTTGAAGAATAAAATATTGACACTTCCTTACTCAGAATTTAATCTGAGATTTAATTATCAAGATTAAAAGGCTTTATATTTATATTCAAAAACGACTGAAGACGATAAAGTCGAATCAATAATTTGTTCTTATTATTTGATTAATCTGCAAGGAGATATTCTTTTGTTTTAATAAACGTTTATATAATTTATCTTTTTATCGTTATTTGTTCTTTAGCGCGTTTAAAGATATTTAAAATATATACTTTGAAATTTTACTAGTAGAAATCAATCGTGTTTAACGTGGAACAAGAGACAGAATATAAGTCTCCTTGGTGTGAGTCTCTTCTGAAGCATCCTGACTGTCTTCGGCAATAAAGGGTAACAGGATTCTCTACAGGGAAATGTAGAATCTTTCAATTTTCAGGAGGAATTCTCAAGAATTCTTGAAAATCACGACGGTTCTAACCGTGATTGTGCAACGATACGAGCAACATCAATAATGACATAATTTCAACTACAAAACTAGGTTTTTTATTATATATATTTTTCTCCCATCTATCTTTCTCAAATAGTCATAAACGAATTTATCTTAAAATTATCTCAGGCATTTTTTATTTTAGTTGTAAATATGTACAATATATTATTTTATATATATGTATACATATACATATTGATATTTTTTAACTCTATAATTTTGAAATTATTAATTCTTAACGGATATTATATAATTTAAAAAATGTATTTGTATCTTTTTCTGTGATTATAAACTTTGGGGGAGAAATCAGAAAACACTTTATACTAAATTATTTACTTCCTCTTGTCGTAGAGAAACTTATTATTATAAGCATAATCCGTTTAATACATTTCTTATGCGATTGTCACAATTTTGCCTTACAGGTTTGCCAGCTATATTTATCTTACCCTGGGTAGTTACGAGGATCATATTCCAGGATAACTATTGCTGGACGACCAACGAGAACTCTCTCTTGTTCCTCTTCATACGGGTGCCCACGATACTCTCTATTTTGGTAAGCATGCCTCGTTGCGCTCGTAATTAATTCAGTCGCACATTAAAATCCATTTGTTCTTATCTGGCTACGCTAGATAAATTTCGTGCTTTTCATCAACATCGTAAGAGTGCTGCTGGTGAAACTCAAGTCTACCATGTCGGAAGAAACGGAAAGATACAAGTAAGCTCTGTGTGTATGTGTAACAAAAGTTATATTTCCGATAGAAAAATACAATATAATTTAAAATATTATTTTTGTTTTGATGAAATTTTTATGATGAAATGGTATATGCATAAAATTATTTTATATATAATTGAATATACATATATGTCTAACATGATAATTAGGCGATGGACTAGAAGCACATTAGTTCTGGTGCCGCTCTTTGGAGTTCACTACGCGTTCTTTATTGGGATGTCGTATAGCATCGGCGTAAATGAGACCGTAGAAGTCGTATGGCTCTTCTGCGACCAGTTGTTCGCATCTTTCCAGGTAACGCGCAATTATTAATAGCACTAATCTACTTTACTGGTCGCCAAACTGCCTTAAAATTATTACGCAAGAAATCGTGCGCTCGTAACGACTTCATCAATTATGTCTCACCAACTAGCTAAGTTGATCAGTGTTGCAAAAATTGAGCTAATTAACCCATAAAGTCAAAAAAATTGAGTTAAACGCGGTATTAGAGCAGATAATTGGATAGATAATTTTATATCTTAAATTTGATACTCAGAAGTGCTGCTTACTAGTTTTATATATCTTTGAACAGTGAAATATTTAAACAGCACAGATGGTAGTTTAGATTTTTTTAACTTATTGTATAATTCCTTCTCTTTCTTTTTATCTCTTACTGAATTTTAATTCATTGCATTCTTTCTCTTAACATGTATTTTTTAACTAATAAAATATAAATTTAATTAACAAACAAACGCATGATTATTGAATGGGGAAAATAAAAAAAACTAAATAAAAAACTAAACTTTTGAGTGGAAGTATATTTAAATGAAATGATTAAATGATGTTTATTACATGTCTCTTTACAATTTATAATATGAAGAATGCTATAGTTTTTTAAAGGTTTGCGTTTGAGACAAGGATCCAAGCTTTTTGCTGGATGAGAATTAAGATTGACGAGCAAAAGAGCGGTATTATCTTTATGTTTCTGGAAGGGCTTTTTCGTGGCGGTGCTGTATTGCTTCCTGAACGGCGAGGTGAGAACCGAAGTATCGAGTACACTTCGTGGTATCAAATGGATACACCGCGGGATTCGATGGGGCCAGAGACCGTCGACGCATTCGGTCAGCACGTGCAGTTGCAACAATGTCGCAAAATCCAGTCGTCGGCACTCGAGAAGGCCTAGATGGTGGAAGTCGCGCTGGAAGGCGCCCTCTTATTTTTTCCAGGATCGTGCCATTCGTCGATCCACCCACTCGATGGCGAGTACACAAGGTGTCCCCTTAAATCCTACGAAACGTCGTGTCCCTTTATGTGTGTCTCGTTCTTGTTAAGTCATGGTGTTTTGGAGCGACTTTGATTGAACTTTAATTAACCTTATCGACGTGATTGCAATCCAACGAATTGACTAAATTTTTCTAACAATAAGTAAAATTCATTCTTTCTGATTTAATCTTTCTCTCCGTATACATTAAATAAAAAATTATAATAACTCTATTTATATCTATATTAAGAAAATGACATAGGCATTACTCGATAATTTAATTGCCAACTAAGTTAATCGAAGTTTGATCGAAGTAACTCTCTTAACTGTTCAAACTGTTTTGATTTTAATTTTCTTTAATAAGTGATTAAAAGACGGTCTACGCTGATATTTAAAAAAAAATGATTACAACTCTTCTGCCAAATTTTTTCCAGAATACTTTAAATAGGCTTTTATTATTTCAGAAATTCATAAAATACGAAAATACGAAACAATTATTGCATTTTTTAAATTTTGTGTAACTTAAATTAGAGCCAGTTTCACCAATGTCGATTAACTGTAACCTTCGATTAAACTCACTCTTCATCTCTTTCTAACTGTCCCCCTTAGAAAGAAACGAAGAGTGAGTTTAATTTTAATCGAAGGCTACAGTTAATCGGAGATGGTGAAATCGGCCCTTAGTCGTTTTTAATCCTTCGAATAAATTATATAAATGATCGATAAATAAATTAGGTATTGTGGTATTTAACTAATTGTAAATCGCTAAACATGTAACGTAAGTAATGGCATAACAGATTTATTTAAAAAATTTGCTATACACATTGATCGACGAGAATGTTAGACGTTAAATAAGTGATACTCGAGGTCCTTCTTCTCTGTCGCCTTAGAAATCCTAAAGTGGGAATATTTCATAGCTATGCTGAAAATAATATAGCATGATACACCGTGAGAGAAGTCAGACGTCGCGACGAGTTGGCGCCCTTAAAATGACTAAATTCGAAGTCAGAGAATCCGGTCGATACCGTTGCTGCAAAGAGGAGCGTTCACTTGAATGCTCGAAATCTACCCGAGTCGCAGCGTTGTGCGGTACGCAACATATTGCAACGTATACGACCCGCAATGCAATTTTGCAGATGTTGGAACGAGAGGAGGTAGTTTAGCGAGCAGCCATGGCTACTTAGAAATTGCTGGTAACGGCCAGCTGCCGACGCAACCAACGACGCAGACTCATCATGCTAATCATACATCACTCATGTGCAGCAAGTACACGGATCAATCGCTGCTCTCTTTCTGCTCGGTGAGTATCATCGTTTTGCACGAGTATCCGCGAGTATCGCGTCCACTACGTAATACCCGTAATCCAGTTGCCGATAAAATACCTTCTCTCTCTCTCTCTCTTTCTCTTTCTTTCTCTTTTTTTTTTCATCGTGCTCTGATACCATTCAACATCGCGGAATAGATATGAGACTGAACGAGAAAGCCGGGCAAGAACAATCAATCTCGAAAGCGCAAACATTTAGAGAGACAGGAAGAAATTTTTTTTCCAATTTGTAATTGTGTAAATAAATCAAATAAAATCAAATAATTAAATCATAAAAAAATCAAACTTTTGTTATTAAACAATTTGATTTTATTACGCTTGTAAATTTATATTTATATATAATTTAATATAGAAGAAGCAATAATAAAATATTTCGTAGGACTTAAAATCATTTTTACGTATATTTAATATATGAGATTAAATATAAGATTTTAATATTGGGTAAAAATACACTCTTTTAATTATTATTATACTGAGAAATATATTTGACATAATTTACCTAACAATTAACAACGGCGATCGTCTGAATGGACAATTAAATTAATTCATTTATTAATCGAAGGTTTATCGTGCAGATGTCCAATGTTTTCTTTTCTGTGATAGAGAGAGAGAGAGAGAGAGAGGGAGAGAGAGAGAGAGAGAGAGGTGATTAATTCCATTTTCCTGACCCAAAGTCGTTTTCTGTTGAATTAGCGAATGATTGTCTTTCTTTTAGATGTCGGATGCGTCGGGGCCGAACGACAAAATCCGTGACCAGCATCGATGGAGCGACTCCGAGTGCTGTCACCTCGCATACGAGTTGCACAATCTACATCAGCACCGCGGACACCCGTGATAACATCCGTATTTCATGATAAAAAGGAAAAAGAACGCATGTTGCTTCTCCCATAAACGTTCAACGCGCATTTAAACGAACCATCGTCCAAAAAGAAAGGGGGGATTTCTAAATCCTGCTATAAATTCTCGAAGAAGCAAAAAAATAGAGAAGGATAAAACAAGTTTATTCTTTCGTTCATTTTCTTGCTCCGTCGCGACTTTGCAAAACGGAGAGACTGAGTTTTTTTCTTTTAGCTCTATTATATCTTTTTTAGGGATATTGTGTCATTTGCGCAGTTGTCCATATCGTATAGATCTTAATTCGTGCAAGTTTATGTGTAGGATAATGTACAGATAATGTTTTTATATTTTAGTATTTTTAGGGATTTGTTGGAATTTCCGATGATCTCTCGTCGACGTACCTCGGTGTTTCGAAACGCGATGCGCCATCCGTCACTTATACCTATAAAACTCAGTTCCACGAAAAATGCTAAACTCGGCACACGTTATAGTATAAATAAATGAAAGCTGCTTGAACTTTGATATAGCCATATCGTCGCGCATCACAAGCCTGTTATCAGCAATTATATTAGAAACTATGTTGTACTGCAAACATCACGTAAACATTAAGACTTAAGACGCTTTTGCAGGTGCTTAATTTAAATACTATGAAAGTTACTCTATTTTTACATATGGCGGAATAGACTCAGGATATCACAATAATTTCCTTCGTTCATTATTTATCGTTAATATCGCGATAAAAGAGTATACGTACATCGCTATTTTTTAAGCGCGCAACAATATAGAAAATCTTGGTCGACAAATTCTAGTTTTCAAGACTACTAAATATATTTAAAAATAATATCTATATGAGATAATCAATGTTTGCAAATTTCTGAGGAAAGCATTGATAGCGCTGCCTATCGTGAAGAGCGTTATCAATTTTAAGATAAGAACGTTTTACTCCAAAAATAAACGTTCGGTAAAACATTTTACCTCGTAAGCTCTCTCACTACGTGTATGTAAATGTGTATATATTTGTATCAAGATCGGATATGCAAATATTTGATGTATCACTTACACAAATCAATTTAATGTATAAATTATGATACATCGATGTAAAAAGAGGATGAATATAATAAATCTTTTATTATCCAATTTCTGTACAGTTCTGTAATCAGGTTTCTACCAAGAAAATCAATTAATTTATTTTGTATTCAAATCGTGCATTAAAAAATAAATATTATTTATCCATCTATACTTTACATATATATTTATACATATATGAAATATTAATGTACGACATACACAAATTCCCTGTAGCACAGTACTGACTTAAAAATTATCTGTACATGGGAATGTCACAACGCTTATAACACTCCCTTGAGTGGCAACGATGGCAGCCAGGAAGAAGTATCGTTCTTTAACTGATCATATTTCAACTTGTTTACAATGATGCTAGTCACAATCTTCTCTACGTCGTGCGTTTGCCCATAGTAATCCACGAACAAGCCCTCTGGGTCTACCAAGTATATAATGATCGTGTGATCCACCTAGAAAAAGGAAATGCAGTATCGCAAAATCGATGATTACTAAATCGTTTGTATGATCTTATATGATTATTAAATTGCTTTTAATTTATGATATACTAACAATATAGTCGTCATCCTGGTCTTTAGGGCCATTACTATAATAAACTCTGTACACCTTGCATGCTTGTCCAACTTGTTCGATACTGCCAGTGAGACCAATGATCTTATCGGAGAATTCCTTGAGGTACTTGCCGACAACGGTGGGTGTATCTCTGTCTGGATCCACTGATATGAAAATTGGTTGTATCTTCAAATTGTGTTCTTTCTCTGCAAAAGCAGAAATAATGTACTTTATCGGCCCACACATACAAGATACAAGAATTCGGTAGTAAGTAATAATTTTTAATTATTATAATCGATTTAAATCTAACACTTACCAAGAGTGTTTACCACGTTTACCATCTTTTCAATTTCATCGGGACAAACATCTGGGCAGTGCGTAAATCCAAAGTATATCAACACCCATTGCCCCAAGAAATCATCAGACTTCACTATCTTTCCCTCTGTATTCACCAACTCGAATTTGCCACCAATCTTAGCTTTGCCCAACTGTCGTCTTCTCTCCCGTGCCAAGGTCTTATCTTTTTCCTCTCTAAGGTGATGCAAATATAACACAAAAGCAGTACCGATAATACCGGAAACTGTCAAACTTTTCCACGTAATTGGTGATTTCTTTTTTATTTTTGTCGATTGCTTAGGCAAGCTAGACTGTTGACGTAATGCACTTGATGTATTTATGTATCTAAACTGAATAAACAAAAAATCATTAATTAAACCTAAAGAAAACTTCATAAAAAATTTTTTATATATTAAAGTTTACTACTAGAAAAAAAAAGAATAATTTTAAACAATTTTTAATTATTTAAAAAACACTAAACATAAGATCTACAAGCAATATACTAATTATAAGTTGATATAATCATATGATCCATAATTTACATATGTCTTTTAATAATGTTGATATTTTCATAGCATTTATAATCTGATTTTCATCAATATTTCAAATAAAGACTATGAAGCTTTCATTTTTAATATAAAAATTAATAAACAAATATATCTGTAAGTTAACAGTATGCAACCAGGGTGTAAAATATTATCGCTGTTTCAGAATATTAACATAGAGTAGATTTTTCACGAAAAATTACCTTTGTAAAGACATTGTAATTCCTATTTAATAACGCAACGGATCTTGATAATAATGTCGACATTGCACTGATCGAAATAAACTTTTTTCGAAGAAGAGGTTATGTCACCGATCACTGCCGGTCACCGCTGGTCACCGCGCTCCGACGTGCTCCGAGCTCCGAGCTCCGACGTACACAGGTATTCAAAGAACATTATATATGAAAAGAGATGTCGCCATATTCCAGTAGTGTTAATTTTACCATCGATGGTAAATTTATCGGAAATCGAAAATCAATGATCAATTTTGAGTAAATTTGTTTTATTTAATGTTAGTAATTAAAAGTTATGCCGGATAATTATCAGATAAACTCATTAATAACTTTCGTTCGTTTGTAATTTCTTTTCCTACCTACTTTTTCAATCAATGAAATTATTAATTCTCGAAAATTGACAAAGTATCACAAGAAAATTTGATCTAAAAAAATTTATATATATATATATATATATATATATATATATATATATCTGTATATACATAATTTATTATCTGTCCCACGTTTGCGAAAATAGTAAACGATAACAGAGAGCGTTCTGAAATATAAAAATAAAGAAACACTGTCTTTCTCAATATACACTTTTCGAGCTATAAAATCAAAATGTTTATTTAATTACAATCATTATTGCTTACATGCATACAATACATTTCTTATGCCTCTCTTTTGTATAATTTTGTATATAATTAAATAATTGAATTAATTTGACTTTCACACTATTGAATTCATTGACGCGCACACGCGCTCATTGCTTTATTCCATGATATACAAAAAAAGTCACAATTACAAAAATGTATCAACGTGCGAAGCGTGATGTCTAGGCAACAGATGATGAATTTTTTATAGGTACTGTATATTTACAGATACATATCCCAAGTTATAGAGGTATACCCGAAAGGTTCAAAGGATACTGGTGAGAATCGGATATTAATGATTGAAATAGCATTCACATACATCAATATATAAGTTTTAACCCGAAGTTTCTTTGCTCTGCTTTTGCTGAATCATTTCTCTAATCTCATTTTCGCTTTCCTTTAAACTCCGCTGCAGGTACGTTTTGTTATTTTCTAGCGTCTTGATCTTCTCGTCGGACATTTTTATTCTAATTTCCAAACCGTCCTTAATGTTACTCATGTTATCTAGGAGGAACATTCGACCGACAGACTCGTACATCCTCGTGTCTCCAGGGAGGCTGGTAATTTCCTTTGTAGTGAGCTCTGCCCGCTGTTTCGTACGCCGCAGCTTCTCAATTTGTATATCAGCCAGTTTTAACTTCTGCTTAGTGTCTACCATCTTCTCGTGCAGCTTTGAAAAGGCTTGCTTCAACTCCTCGTCCAATACCTTCGACATCCTCGATTATTACAGTGTCTTCTATGGATAAAATTACTAAATGTCCTGAAAATATTTTAGTAGAAAGAAAGTTTGTATTTGATCGATTCCATTTGATCTTTATGCTAATATGACTGTATTGCATCCAAATAAAAGATCAAAGATCAATTTTTAATATATATACTTATATATATCATATATAGACTGACACTTTATATCTTATGTTTATGTTAGTAGTGGTTGGAAATTGCTTTTACTTCAAAACAAATGAAATAAGAAATTGGCCAGAGTTTTGACTCCTTACCTCAAATTCCTTCTGTGGCAACGTCGTGAAATGTATTTTGTTGTATAATGTTCCTAACCATATACGTCAACTACTGCCTGAGGTTTCTCTCCGGTAATACAGACATGAAGTGAGTCACGTTCCGATTATCGAGGCCAGCGAGTATATCGATATATTCGATACATTCAAACTTCGTCCAATCCTAACCTAAATTACAATCTAACCTAATCTAACATTGAAAGATTATAAATAAATTGTAAATAAGAGGAAAGGCTTACTGCAGCGAACGTCTCTAAAATTGGAGTAAAGTTTGTAATTGAAATATTGATATTTATTCATCAATTGACAGTTGTTATTTATCTTTTGTAACATTATTATATCGATTAGGCAAGTTGCGATGCGAAGAGGTTAGGAAGAGGTCAGCCGCTGTTTCTTACAACTTACGATAATAAACAATGGCATCATCACCAACAACGTCGCCGTCAAAGTGTCAAACGTCATGGGAGCCACACCGAATCACACATATCAAGCCGTCCTTCGACAGTCACGAAATGACTCTTGCGTGTCGTAAGGATCTGTGGCACAAGTTCATCGTCTTCGACGGCGCCCTGTACAGGCGAACCGATGTTCTGCGCGCCGTTATAACCACCTGCGAACCGGCGCTCCTAGTACCGATTATGTACGCCGTCGAGGACAAGAACAAAAGCACGTTCCTCGCAAAATGTGCTAGCAACGCCATAGAGAACCTTGTGAAGCAGGGACTGTGTATAACGCTGCCGGGCGGCCAGGAGCTGCACATGGACATCGTGTTGGGATACCTCGGCGCGCAGGAGTTGCAAGTGAACACGAACAAGATTATAGCGGCAGCCCTGCACACCAGGTACGAGCCGGTGAAGAAGATATTCAATCTGGACGACTTTGAAAACGAGAAGGCACTGGGCTCGATATTCTGTCCCATTTCTATACCGAAGATCTTCGATCTGGTCCTACGTTGCAGCAAGACAGGTATCAGCAATCGTGATCCCCAACAATTACGACTGCCTGTTCGTGAGTTGAGTCTGAGATACAATAGGCTCACGGCTATCATCCTGTTTGACAAGTTCTTCAATTACCACCTGACCAAATTGGACTTGAGACACAATCAGATCTTGGATGTGGAATATCTACGTTATTTCTGCGAGTTCAAGATAAGCGAACTTTGGTTGGACGGGAATCCACTGTGTACAAAGTATACCAATTCCCAAGACTACATACAGGCTGTGAAGAACGTTTTCCCGCATTTACAGACACTAGACGGAGTCGTCATAGGAATGGAGAAGAAATTTGTGCCAAGCATACAAAGTAATTATCTTAACAATGGAACAAAGATTCCTCTGATCAAGCAATTTATCAAGCATTTTTTCACGTTATACGACCAAGAAGATAGAATAGTTATGAACGGCCTGTATGATAAAAATGCATTCTATTCCATGACATTAGGTAGCATAACGAATCATTTACATAAAGAGATCGTCAAGACATTTTCCACAAACAGAAATTTATTGAAGTTTGTCGATTACGCCAAGTATCACGAATTCCTATTTTGGGGACCTGAAAAGATAATCACTGCCCTTCAACGGCAACCACCGACAATGCACAATTTCAAAACATTTCATATTGATTTGTTATACGAAGAGGAAAATTATATAATCATCTCCGTGCAAGGATTGTTCTCATATCGATTATCAATCTGTCCGCCTATGCTGTTTAACAGAACTTTCATTATTATACGAAAAGAAGACAATGAATATTGCATTGTTAACGATCAATATTACATTGATGGTACACCCGCCAATGTGATTAATGAAGTGAAATTTGATCCAAGACCCGTGCCTAAATTTACTCCAACAGTACTCAGTGTAACAGAAAGGGAACAACTGATTAGATTTTTACGTGAGCTAACTACAATGAATATTGGATATTGCTACAAATATCTCCAAGATGCAGAGTGGGATATAAGAAGTGCAATCACTACATTTACAAAAAATTACTCAGTCAATGATGTCCCTCCAGAAGCTTTTCAACGAGACACATAATTATATTAGACTTTGATAATACTTAAAAGAGAATAGTATTGTATAAAAAAATACATGTACGTTATTGGTAAAAAAAGAATACACAAAATTTTGTTCTTATTTATATTTAAATAATTAAATTACTAATATTTTATAATATATATATAAATGATCCTTTCTTATAGTTTAAACATATTGGAAGGAAAGAGGTAAAAGATCTTCCGCCGTTCTATTTTAATTGTAAAAAAAAGTCTTATGCGTATATTATGCGTAATATTTACAGAACTAATAGACTAACATATTAACAACCTTGCTGTGTATTTAACAGAGCAATAGTCTTAGTGATGTAAGGTATCGTATTGACGCTTGAATTTACCCCTAACTTGAACACCCTCTGCATCAACGGTAAAGCATGTTCTGCAATGTAAGAGAAAGAGAATTTATGAGAGTTTAATAATGAAATTATTATCATACTTAAATATGAAAATATGTAAGTCCGTTTGTTACAGCAATCGTTTTTACCTTGCATGCACAACACGATATCCGGTAGTTTTTCTAAAGCTGACATAAGAACATCCGCTCTGTGACTGTCCAAGCATCTTTGAAACGCGGACAGTATATTCGCTTTCGATGCGGGACGATGTTTCAATGCTCTAGCGAGTAGATTGTGAGCGAGCGTTCTGATGTTGCCCTGTGGCGATACAAGCAGTTCGGCTATGTTGTCCGTTATAGGTTCTAAAACTGAAGGTTTTCGCGACGACACGTGCTCGATCTCTTGAAGTGCACTGAGTACATCTACAGAGGATGGAACAATCATTAAAATCATTTTCTCGTATTATATCAGAATATTTATGATACTAAAGATTAAATGCTTATATAGATGTCGCTTATACAGAGAGACAAACAAATCTCTTTTCTTTGTATTAATTGAATAATTTTATTAATTATAATTAAAATGAGGATTTTTAATAAAGTTACTTCTCATACCTTCACCGTGCAGCTTGGTGAGCGTAGCCAGCAGCGATTGCCAGTGTTGCGGAATAGCGGGTTCCGAGGGATATGGTGTAGGAGTTACAGTGATTAAAATATCATCTACATCTTCTCCTTCCCTTGGTATCGGTATCCCTGATACGAGTGTTCTCAAAGCTGGTACGTTAGAATAATTTACCTGCAACTCACTATATACACACATATAAACTATATAAACATATCACAGGTGTAAATCATTTGCAATGTGCATAAAAATAAAAAATAACTTACTGTAAAACATGTGCGTGTTTCTGAAGATATTTCAGTGCCCGTTGTGGATCATGTGATATGTATGACTGTAATAATGACACAAATCTGTTGAGCAAGGAGACGAGATCTTTTATATGTCCATAATACTGTAAATAAAATCGTATTCATAAACATATTAGAATAGTCTAGTTAAATGTCAAAAGATAAAGTGACAAGAAACAACAAGATGCATTGAGAAAATTTTATGGTAATTAATAAAGATTGTAAATAATTTAGTGGTTTTTTTCATAATGCAATTTTTAAACTAAATTATTTAACAATCGCGATTTTTCTTTATACGTAACATATTACTGCCTCAAATCTGTCATTTTTTTTTCTTTAAACTTTATCTTAATACTGTGCTCGCGTATCGTTACAAAAAGTGTCATTATAGACAAATCGTGATACCTGAAAACATTGAAAGTAATTTTCCAAAGTATTCTCCAACGCAGTTTCGTGTTGCTCGTTAAACAGATGCGGCTGCAATAGTTCTAATAGACCCATAACTTGCGAGAAAAGGTTTAAATGGTGACCGGATCTAAATTGACCGAAATCAAGATAACATCTTCCCATTAAGGAGGACGCCAACATTGGCAATTGTCGCAACACCAATATAGGATGCACCGCAGCCATTTTTCTCGCGCAGAGTTCGAATTCCTGAGACTTGGAATTCCAAGACTTTTGTCTCGGAGTCGCCGCCAGAGCCGTCAACAAGGAGTGGCTCATGCAATCGAGCACCGAGCCCGTCCAATCGGTTATCCTCGAACCGTTTACGAACTTGCTCGCTTCGAAGGTGTTGAGGTAGCAAATGACTTTCGGAATCTTCATGTACATATGCAACAGAAACTGATGTGCCATATCCGCTGAGTCTACGCTGAAAGTTAAATACAATCATTTACTCGAATGCATTAAAGCAACAAATGTTAAATCGTGTGTTGCAAAATATATACGATCGCACAATTCGTACTTAGCATTATCCATCATACGTCCCGCTAAATAGTTAACCACATTAGAAATCAGGCCGTCTTCGGTGGATATGCAATGTAACAGTAGATCAAGCCTGATATCCATCCTCGCTAAAGCGGCATTTCTGTTCTGCATTTTACAAATAATAACGGCTTCGGACACTAGGTATGCCACTAGATTAAGTAGCTGTCGTTCTTCCAACAGCAGAATATTCTCAGGAACGTAATGCTTCGGCGTGAACTTGTCCCGGCCTTGCCACAGCTTAGGATTGCATGTCAAGGCCCATAAAAAGTCCAGAACAGCAGTAGGGTCGTATCTACAAACACATTATATCCGCAAATATAAATATAAATATAATTATAAAAAATATATGCTGATTAAATCGATTTAGGAAAAAAATTATATTTGTAACAGAGAATATAATGAACAATGAGAAGATTAACAAAACGGAAGAGAAGAGTGTTCATTTCCGTTTTACTCACCCGTCATCACATTTGTCTAACAAGTGCCCGACACATTTATACAAAGTGGTCCAACTTGCTCGATGCGTCAAGAGCGTTAACAAGTAAGGTCTACAGGAATGCGAGCTCACGACATTCTTGTCAATGTTAATGTGCACCTTCGTCTTTCCGAATAGCAGCTTCATTTGGAGATTCGGACAAGTGCCGATCAGCTCGGGTTCCACGGAGGCCAGCCAATCGATCAGCAAACCTGTGCGAGGTTTCAATGCGCCTTCGTTACTATCGCTGACCAATAATCTTGCCATAGCCTCGACTAGGACGTCGTTTTTTTGTTGCTTCAGACAGAGATCCAGCAATCTTCGGCCCACACGTTCCAGATTCACAGGATCCGTGCCCTCCAGAATCGAGCCAGGGCTCTCGCCACGGCTCTGCATTAGCATCGACAGTTCCGCGCGTTGCGGTGTTTTCGTCAGCTGCACGTTAGCGAAATCCCGCAGGATTGACAGAACCGGTGCTTTTACGTCGCCTATCAGTGATATCAAATTCAGACACATATTACGCGCCAGTTCGATCACGTGCTTCGATGTCAACGGCTTCTTAAGCGGCAAAAGTATCACGCGCATCAACGTGCAAGAATACTGCGGCATATGCACAAGCGAGGCCAGGAACTGCTTGACTTGCATAGAGCTGAGAACGCTACATATGTGCTGTATCGCCAGCACAACCGCGCCGCTCTCCTTTACGCACGATCTCTGCAGATCCTTCGCCAGGGTCTTGTGCAAACGCCGATAAGCATCCATTTTCTGATTAATCGGAATACTCTCGATGAAGATCCGGTTTATCAAGTGGGGCACGTCGGTCTTCACGGAGCATTGTATGACGGACTGCTTTTGCACCGTGGCACTGACTGGCAATGGCTGCTGCAGTCTCCCGATCGACATAATGCTCTCGTCTGGCAATTGCGGTTCGATCAACTGCAATACTTGAACGAACACCAGTCCACCTGTGGCACCCCTTCGGTGTTGCACCTCGACTAGTTGTGCCATGTATGTTTTATCCAAAACCGCTTCACCAACTGAACTTGGATCGATCTGGACACCTGCGTCAAGCGTATGAAGCAACTTACTCATTGACGATACCGGTATCCCAAAACTTTGGATAAAAAGTACCAATTGCTGAGGTTCAAGATCCTTTAAAGCTGCGTCGACTAAACGAGGCACGTTACTTCTGATCATTCGTAACTTGAGCCAATCAGGTATAAGCAACGCTTCCTCGCTAGTGTCCACGAGAAAGGCCTTTGGTGGTTCCGTTAAGGGAAACCATGTTTCCAGCAAACTGTTGAACAACGGATCATCCTCGGACGTATCGTATGTCAATAATATAATCATAGCATGCACCACCAAGATGTGCATAGTGCACTCCTCGCCGTTGCTCCACTGAACTAGAATCTGATCTTGACTTTCAGACCATTGGTAACCTTCCCCCCTAGGCGATCGAGCTTTCTCAAGATAGTTACAGAAGATTGCCATGAAGGAGTGCAATGTTTGTTTGGCTTGCAGATTATCACTTTCCGGTTGAGGCAGAATGGCTGCGATAATGGTGCTACGTTCAACGACCAATTGAGAGATCTCGTTGGCTAAATCAGTCAAGTCGGGCAAATCATCGTCGGCGGTATGCACAGCCAGATACGATATATAAGTATGTACAAGATCCGGACTGTTCTCAACCTGACAAGCGCCACGTAGTGCTGTGGAAACCAGTGAACGTACAGATAAGAAGTGTGGTATCGACGGCAATTTTCGGAGAAGCCAGGTCTCCCTGAAAAAAAAAATATATTGTTAAAGTTAAAATATTATTAAAGTATTATTAACAGTTTCTTTTCTCAGTGTACCTTTAAGAACATACTTTTCGTTTTCTCCATCCACGTCCATACTCTCATCCTCAAGGGGTATCGAATCTAGAACCATCTTAAGTCCAGTGATCGCTTGGACGCGGCTACCACTCTGCTGGCTGCTCAATCTCCTTAAGAAATATTCCAAGACCTCAAAAGCGTGCTGTTGATCTTGATTCGGATCGGTTAGCAGTGTCTGAAGGTGAGCCAACAACTGTTTCTGCCTGGGCTGTTTTTCAACTGTCTGTGGGCTGGTTGACAACAAGTATTCGCAAAGGCACTGCACTGGTAATTGACTCAGAGAACCTTCGCTGTTCTGCACCAGGTCTGCCAACCAGGGCATACTCTGCGATGTGCTCTGTTGTTGTCTCTGAATGATATCCAACAGGAAGTCCGGTTTACGTGATCGACAAAGCAGATGGCCTAGTCTGTGAGACGTATTCAACGACTGTATCTGTTCGAGCACGGCTGGCGGTGGTCTTCTAGCAATTCCCGTCGGTGCCATGGTAATCAACTGCGACAGCAGGAAACTATTTTGTTCGGATAGCTGGATTCTAGTCGACGCTGCGGCCAAATGCGATTCGTACTCCAATATCTCTTGTTTCTCGATAGCTTCAACCTGCAGTTCCTTCGCACGTTCTTGTTCTATGATCTCCGGTAGGGCCATAGTGGGCGGCGGATACGAGAAATGACTGCAAGACGAATGTTTTATTAAAAACACGTAGCTAGTCATATGACCAAAATATTTATAGATGATTTTTAATATTTGTTAAACTCACTTTGTAATACACATTTCCATCAGTGTCCTCAATATAGAATATTCCCTCCATCCTAGTGCACCAATTGTGGACGGATTATGCGCAGCCAAAATTAATAACATTATCCATCCTTTCCAATAGAGATTAGCTATCGCCAATGTTGGTGGCCTGTATCTACAAAACGAACGTATAATAGTATATATCAGTACATATCAACTATAAAGATAATATATACGTGCAGACTTACCCAGCAGGTATGTTTATTGTTCCCGGTGGTTGATAAATGCTAAGCTCAAAAATAAGTTTGATTATATCCATTTTGTCGATTTGTAACATCGGGAAACTCTCCGTTGAATTGGCCGCTGCTCGCCGTATCAATTGATCAGCCAAATCCAAAGTTTCCGAATGAGTAATGCCGTTGTCCTATAAATAAAAATAAAATGAGTGAATGAGGACCATCTCTAAACAGAATCGCTTTACAAACAATAAGTCTAACTTATTGTTCACTTACCTTCGATAAACCGATATTTAGCAATATCAACAACGTATTTTGCAACAGGGGAACATCGGATACAAGTCGTATGTAGAACACTCTGTCCGACTCTGGTGGCCAATTGTCCAGTTTATAATAATGTTCGGGAGACTCCAAGAGCAAGATCTTGTGCATTGCGTGCAACAGTTCGTTTCGTCCAACGGCGTACATCTGCTGCGCCGAATCCTCTAGCCATAGCACAGTCTCGTCCTGTATCATGGCTACGAGATTTTGAAATTGATGTAGCAGAGCTACGTCTTTTTTATCTGCACGTTGCGATAGTGTCCCCGCTTCTTTTACCTGCGGACTTATCGCCAGAAGCATGCACAGACACAGTAAATCCACTATCGACATAAACATACGATCCTTAAATTCAAATGTCAGCAACTTTTGAGCTATGTCCGGTCGTTGGGACATTAACGTTCGAATGAAAGCGATCAGATTGATATCGTGCCGACATACGCGTACAATTTCCCTGAGCAATGCGCGTAATGGCCTCAAATAATCCTCGCGATTCATCAATAAATCTTTAAAGATCTCCGCGAGCAATTTTGCCGCTTGCTCGGGCAAGGTCTGGAACATTATACCCAGCATGGGCATATTATTTGGATTGCGCGCATTCGATAATTCATTGTAAATCGTGTGCTTCAATATGGTAGCTAAATTCTCGGGATGCAATCCGATCAATTCTTTGACGCCGTTCAAGTACAGATTGATCACAGCTTTCGTTTTCAATCTCATCTTAACCAGTTGGCTTATGACCTCGACGTCTCTTTGAGTATGAGACGTACAATTGTAACAAATGTAAATGAGCAGTTCCTGCGCGGGTCTCATCAATTTAGGATTGTGCAACCACACCTCTAGTCTCGGGACAACGATGTTTCTAATTTCAACCAACCCACATGCTGAGGAGAGCAGCTTCAAGAAATTTCTCGTTATAGTCTCAACCTGACGTCTGTTTAGTTGCTCCTTTACAGCTTCCAGTACTATGGATTCTATATTCTCCACGCAATGGGCGTACCGTGGGCCTACTGGAAACTCTATTTTCTCCTTATCCCCAGACAACGATGTCGTTGATGTCGCCGGATCCTCATCATCCACTACAGATGGGCTTGGACAATCCCGCTGCATTAGTACCGGGAATTCTGGCTGTAACACAGACCTGGGTGGATGTCTCGTATTAAAACCCGTTAATATGTTGTCGACAAAGCCCTTGCATTCTTCGTGGTCAACCCATACACGCTCTCCAAGAGCATCCTCGACGTACAGCTGTAGAAATAATATAAAAAAAAGTCAGTTAAAATATCAAAATTCTACAAGCAATATAAAAGAATGCAAATGAATATTACCTTCACAAATACTTCCGGCCAGTTCTTCTTGTCGTGAAAACCTTTCATCAAGAGATTCGCAGCGAGTACAGGAACCAATGGACTCACTTTACTCTTATAGCTATTTTGATTATTTTGATCCCTCCTTAGGAGGGACGATAATGCGTGTAGGATGCAATCATTTGAGAAAATGGATGGGCGGATTTTGGCTAGATACAACAAGCCCATATAAAGTAACGTATCAGGCTTCCATCTCTGATTCTTCAGCGTCTTAATAGCGCCACATATTATCCCGATAACTTTGTCGCCTTCGTCATTGTCATTAGCCTCAAGTGCCATAGGCACAAAGTCTGCAGGATCGGTGTCTATAACTAAAACTTCCCATGCTTCCGCGGTGGAAGAAGGCTGTCGTTGATGAGAGCCGACATGAGCTAACTTAGGTTTCTTCTGTGGAACGTACATGAATGACGATCCAGACGGAGCCTCCTTCTTCCGATCATTACCTACAAAACGGTTTGTGACAATAGATAAACAATAATTTGCAATTGTGAGAGTATCAAAGCGACAAGTTATTTACCAGAGGATGTAGAGCTGCCGCTTGGTTTGGAATGGATAACACCTGGTCGGCTTTTAGAATCAGAATTATCGTTTCGTGAACTCTTTGCTCCCAATACGAAAAAGTCGGAAGGATGCTGAGCAATTTTATTTTTTGCTGCTCTACCAATCCCAGTCTTTCCACGTTCCATGATTATTTTTCTCTGATCTAAAATATAAAAGACTATCTAAATTGTAAAACAAAAAAATCTATAGAAAGTCTACAAGAATATTTAAGACATTTTTATAGATAAGTATAATTATAATAAATATAACAATATAAATATAAAATATAACAATGTTGCAGGAGTATCGATTAAAAAATAGTTGGGTTGTGTTTACTGGAAATAGATTGTAAGTTCTAACCTAAAATCTCATCAATGTCTAGAAGAAATTATTTTCACGAAATAAATCCTGCGTAAAGATAGAGAAATTAAATATTTGTCATATGTTTAAATTAACCGACTACAATCCCACACATGTCTACAATTGATCGACAAATCAAGACCCTGCTGCACTGCAGGACCCGCTCTTGCCCGTTCTTCCGCAGCTGTTTCTCATTTCTGTTGATTACATTGCACCATTTGCACCATGTTACACCTTACACCGTGTCGCACTCGGAGCTCGGAGCGATTATCGCGCAGTGTCGGAGTCAGTCGGAGTGTGGCGGACACGATTCGATTTATAAAAATGGCCTCGACTCGAATATTACGTATTTGTGGACTTTTGAGAAATTCGCCAAGAAATATTCCATCTATGAGCAATGGTACAAAATATTATCGTTTTATCGTTTACAATATATCGTATAATTTACAGACAAATATATCTAATCCAAATTAATTTGCCAGCTCAATTTATTTGCTACCGTTCGCTAACACGAGGTTATAATATCTTTTCAGATGCACGTAATTTATTTACTGTCGATTGTTCACATTTGTTAAAGACGCACATCCCTTTAGTATGCGATACGAGGAATAAGACATTTTTCATCAACAGTAAGTAAGGTTTTTTGGTGGGCGTAATATGTGTATGCTCATAGAGAACTGAGAGTCGTGGTATTTTGTTTGTATCTCATCTCATTTCGTGTCCCTCTTTCGCAGAATCTGCGGACGAATTGTGGAAAGGCGTGACGAGCGTCAGTAATGCAGGGAGGAAAAGAGGCAGAGCTAAAGGCTTACCGAGAAAGAGAGATTTAAACAAGGGTCAGATTATTGGCGTAGGAAAAATTCCGATACAATTTCCCGGTCTCAATACACCTGTATTCAGAGGAAGAGAACTCGTTCAACAGCAAAAGCTGCCTGTGGATCCTGAGAGGGAGGAGAGGCTCGCCAAGCTACGACAAAGCTATAAAACTGGGCCGAGGCGGATGAAATTATCGCCGTTGGAACGTGGTTGGACGAGTGCCCAAATGGGTGGCAGAAAGATTGGACCACCTGATCCTATTGGAGAAGGTTAGCGTTACTCATCGTTATTACGAAATTATTTCAATGTAATACTCTTTGTCAACTTTCTTTCTGATATTTTATAATATCCTAGTAACGTCGAGATTACAAACCACGTGCGACGTCTATCTTTCAGATACCTTTGACGGCTTTGAAACTTGGGTATTGGAAAGCAAAATCGTAAATTGTATGACTGGTAATTTAGGACGTAAGAGTAAGATCAGTATGTTTGTCGTAACGGGTAATGGAAATGGTCTGGCTGGATTTGCGCTAGGAAAAGCACCCGCACAAAAAACAGCCATGAAGACAGCTAAGAATAGGGCGGGTCAAAGATTGATGTATATTCCTAGATACAAGGAGCATACTGGTAATATATATGATCATGCTACGTGTAAAACTTACACGACTTACGTCTCGCTCGTTCCCTCCTTTTAATAATCTTGCTCTGTTTCAGTGCTACATGACTTTTTCACACAGTTTGGAGATACAAAATTGTTTGTAAAGAAAATGCACCAAGGATACGGGCTTGTCTGCCATCGTGCGATAAGAGCGTGTTGCGAGGCAATTGGCATAAAGGATATGCATGCCAAGGTGGAAGGTACCAAGAGTTTGCAGCATATCATAAAGGCTTTCTTTATTGGCTTGTTACAACAGGTATGTATCTCACTTGAGAGTACGCCCAACACTCTCTCCTTTAATTTTAACGTATGTTAAATTGATAGATTTGAAGCAAGCAGATTGGTTTTTCATTTAAAGCATTATTATTTAAGTTACAAATAATTTACGATGGATTTCTAGTTTACTTAATCAGATACTTTTGATACGTAAAAATGTGTAGATAATAGACCTTGGTCTTTTACTTTAATGCCAAATCCATAATTTGATACAATTTGATCAAACATTTGTCATTGCGTTATGCCACAAGGTAATCCGAAAATAACATGAGCTACGTTTGCAGAAATCGTATCAACAATTAGCGGACGAAAAACGATTGCACTTGGTTGAGTTCAAGTCGGAAAACGGAAATTATCCGGTAGTGATTGCCTCGCCGTCGCAAGTTAGAAAGCCAGAAGAAGTGACGTCCCACGAGATCCTCGATTTTACTCAATATGTTTTGGGCGGCAAAGTAATATTGCAGAAAAAGAAATCTGCACCATTCTATACGAGACTTCCATCTTGGAAAACAAGATTGTTAAAACTGGAACGAACGAGGCACTTTGATGAAACGAGGCTAAAGTTAACGGCAGAATACGGGGCGTTGAATAGTTTTCTCACTGAAAAGTATCCAGAAGCGAAGCTGCGTCCCAAGCGGAAGCCAAGTGAAAACGAAACGGAGGAATAGAGAGCATAGCCGAGTATTATGCTCTATGTATAAATGTTTCTCAATAAAGTTATGATTAGAAAATTACATTTCTACATAATTCAGACTAATTGTTTCGATGGTGTAGCCGGCTCTTCTTCTCTTCTTCTCTTCTTCTTTGATTTGATGACAGATGACCCTCCGATACGGCCAGTCGGGCCAGTACAGAGGTAGCCGGTCAAGCCGGTGGCGTTTCACGTGTGTCGCGTGTATACATACATACATATTCTCGTGCAAGCTTGGCTGCATTCTAGCAAAACTGATTATCCTATTGGACAAATCGAATGCGTTCCGAAATTCATCGAGTTTCGGTGAATTTCAGAAATTCTCTTTTCTCATCGAGAGTGTGCCAACTGCCAATCTATTTTGTGATAATTTATGACGCCCATAATGGCGCGTATCGGCGTATCAGTTTGTAAATATTTCCCCATTACGCGATTGGAATGGATTTAGATACAGCTTACATTGGTAATTAGATTTTACATCTATCCATCTGAGACAATTTCAATAATTCTACGCATACATATATACATTTTTGTTTATATCTAGAAAATATCGCTCGTACGCCTATATATTACATATGTGTGTGAATATTTTCTTTTGTGAAATATGGTTTAATCAAAGTATATATATATGTATATATATGTATATTTTGTGTAGAAGATGTAAAAGAAAAGTATAAATACCGAATAATATTTCGTATGTCACCGACGCGACGTACAGCAGAGCGGGGAACCGCGTGTTCTAAAATTATAAAAAATAAAAAATTACTTGGAAGTTTACAAGTACAATTTTCAATTGCATTTTCATTAAACTTGTTGGTAGAACCATTGATTCACGATTGGGTGGAGCATCTCCAGCAAATTGTGAAAAAACAGGAGCAGGAGCAGATGGCCAACGCAACCGATTTTGCTATGCCGTTTGTAGGTAGGCGACGAAAGAGCGTATGTGCGCGCGTGCGACAAAGCAAGAGATATTGACTAACGTTCTGCTACATCACAATAATAATTTTAAATTATACAATCAGGAATTCCAGTATCTACTGTGAAAGCTGCCTTCAAGATAGCGGAATACTTGGAGCTAGAGCCGACTGTCAAGTATATGGCCATTCAACTGTACGACAGGTTTATGTGTAAACACTTTTGGGAAATTTACAAGACTGAGATTGTGAATACGTCGTCCGAGGGATCGTGGTTGAAAGTTTGCAACAAGAGCTCTAATCAAACCAAGTTAAATTTAATGTCGTGCTTTCAGTTGGCATGCAAAATGGATTCTCATTCCAGTGTTTTAGGAATATCGCAAGTATATTGAAAGATATAATGTGTTTTGTGCGAGGAATATTTAAAAAAAGACTTGGAGACTTGGATCACGATAAATGTTAACAGATAACGTTCTGCCGCTTGTCTTTTGCTAGATTCTCAATATTCTACATCTGATTGACAAAGAGTCTGAATATACGCCGAGTATGATTTCCTCTTCGGAACGTAGAGTTATCAAAACGGTAGACTTTAAAATGCCCCTTTACACTCCACTGCAATGCATCGAGATTCTTCTGGCGGCGACAGGTCTCGGGGAAACGCCAGATATGGTTAACGTTTCGATAGATTTGTTGGATTTGGCTTACCTAAAGGTTTGGACACACGACATTTTTATATTTAAGTAATTTATTCCTTTGCGCACTTTACAATTTTTAAATTGTAATACGCGGCGTGCGTGTATTATCTCACTCAAACTCATTTGTATTCATTTAATTTCAGCACGACAGATTATATTCGCACCTTCATTTATATTACACGCACAAAGATGTTTTAAACGAGGAACGTGTAGCCATAAAACTAATATCGTTGAAATCGAATATACTTTTCTTAAGCGCAGCAGTAGTATATTGCGCAACGTTCTTTTTGTGCTTGGATACAAATGCCTCGGAAGAGCAAGTTGTCGTTACAAAATTGGCAGAATTATCCAATACAACGGATACTGATATTTTCAACATGGCCAATATGTTGCTCTTAATAGCAACGCAACGCTAACGTAATATAATGTGTATCGTAGCAAAATAATTTTCTACCACATGTTATTCATAGAGAGTATTTTGAATTCTTCGCATTTGTTGGCTCTGATTAATTTGGGATATATGTTTGAGGCACAGGATATAATTTATTAGTAAAATACCGAGCTAATAGATTATAATAACGTTATAATAAAATCTATAATTTATAAAAATACTCTTTTAAGCTTTAAATATTTGAGGTGCACATTAAGGGGTTACATATATATTTGATGAAGTCGTAAAACTAGAACGGCGTTTGCGGTACCAGAGATACCCTCCTATCATGTTAAACAAAAAACAAAAATTTTCCGTTAAACTAGGTGAAGAAATTTAGTTATCATAGCCAATTTCGAAAAATGGCAGCGATTCGTAGCACAAAATGCGAGTTTTGACTACAAAAATCGATTTTCTTTTATTTATAAAAAAGAACTAAACCCATAGATAAAAAATCCTATGACAAGCACATTATATTATATTGAGAGCGTCTCCCCTCCCCCTTTGTACGAGGGTGCAGGAGGTGGTGGGGTTGTACACCATACTGTGTAAATATTGGATTGGATTAAAAAAAAATAAATTTATTATACCTTGTATAATACGTCGCATACAATTATATACATTTTTGTTTATTTATTTAGAATGCGTCTGTGTGTGTGTGTGTGTGTATAAAATAGATGTGTGAATAATACAGTGTATTACTCAAAAATATTTCATCGCATATTATAGATAGCAAATGAAATTTACATGCAATATGAAATTCACGATTCGAATGTTATTAATTTCTCGATAATCGCCAATAATCGCTATTCGAAAAGATATATCTCCGTTACAGCTGTATTCTATTTACAATCGCGTCAGACTAGAAAAGAAAAGAAAAGAAAAGTACATCATCTGGAAGGGCAACAAAATTCACAAAATTCGTCACTCATCTTTTGCTTCTCTCGTCTCGGGAGATATCTGGCATTTCTATCGATTCCAATCAATCCGTCCGGTTGAATAGTAGAGTTTTAAGAGTTTTCCATCGGCGTACCCCTCCAACTCCAACTATAAAGGTTCTTATCTTGAGTTTTTTGACAAATCTTCCAACACCTTGCTTTTCTTTGCTTGTCTTTTCGTTCAGATCACTGTGTATTAATCTTTCTAATAAACTGTAGACTGCCCTCATCGGTTTCATATTGATGTCGACTTGCGGTCTGCCGGGTCTGCGGTATCAATGGTATCATTGACCTGATATATAGAATAGGATAGGTTAGGTTAGATTAAGTGAGGTTAAGTTAGACTAGGATATAAACTTTTTTTCTTCTCTCAGTCGCTCTCGTTTCACCTCACCTTTCACCGTGCGCGCGCGTTACGCGCGTGCTCGACGCTCGACATCCATTCATCGCCAGTAACACCACTACTGGCACTACTACGCGTCTCTCGCTCTCGCTACTATTTCAATTGATATTTCAGTATCCGTTCTGAAAAGTCGACGGCCCGGACGCTACTCCTCCGCGACCCGCGACCGCGACATCACTCGTCACGGCCACGGCCGCTCTTTATCTAGTTCGGTACTTGGGTTATTACGGAGAAACGTGTACTGCATTCTGCACAAGAGAAATCAAATATTTTTGACATTCTCTAGCGACGACGTCTCCTTCTTCTCCTTCTTCTTGACATCTTTGTTTGTATTGTTTGTAAGGGGACTTTTCTGTGCCGTATACCGTTAAACCGTGCTAAGACTGTGCGAAATCGTACACGAAATCGAAAAAAGATCGATGAACTGTCATTCCTATTATTCTCAAGAAACCCAAGCGATATCGCGCGCGCGCGCGCGCGCGTGTGTGTGCGTGTGTATAAGCCACGCGACTGACGCGACTATTCACGCCATTCACTCATACGCATACGACGGACGGCGACGGGCGACGACCAGTCGTTTCGAGCTTCGAGCTTCGACGCCTCCGACTCCGAAGTACGAGGTTCGAGGTCCGAGTTACGAGACTTCCGAGTCGTGGATGGTCGTGGTGGAGTAGTGGAGTAGTTTCAACATGGAGAAGAAACAACGTTGCGACTGCTCTCGCGCAAAGTGGTTGTAAACACAGCTCGAATCTCGAGTCTCGAGTCATCGGAGTGGAGTCGTCGATTGTATTCTGCAATCCGCTGGATCTGTTTGTTCCACCACGTGAATGGTTTCGACGTGAGAACGTGCAATGGCAAAATCTGTGCTAAGTTCCGACACGCTGCCGAAGGCGGGTCGTGTAAACGAAGGTGAGAGAACTTGAAGGTTTTTCACTGCCCGCTCCCATGCACGTGGTATGCCCGCTTCTCTCGTGATTCTCTCATGAGATCCGTGAGATGTACGAAATTCTCTGTAAGCTTGTTGACTCTCTATCTAAATTCTAAATAACCCTTACGCGCGCGCGCTCAGTCTTTCCTTAACTTCATTCTTCTTTTCACGTTTCCATACAAGTATTTCAGTTCAAAGCATTAAAGTTCAAACGTGGGAACCCGACAACCTAAGCGAAAGCGTAAATAACGGAATGACGAGACCCGCGCGAGTTCGCATACGCGGATCTCGTTACTCGTTTCACGATTAGTCATCACATTGGCATTCGTAACGCAAAACGTAATGTGAATTTGTGTGATTTTGCAGTGTGCCGCGAATGGCTGGTGCACGAGGACGGGGCACTGGCCTATCGACTTCAGGATGAAGAAAGTACGTAACAATTTTCGTAAATTTTCCACCTTTCCACCTTGGTGCGGATGTATGTGTGTCGAAGGGAGATTCGTGCAGGGCAGGGTCGTCCTAAGACTGTGTGTGCGTGCGTGTGTGTGCCTGACCATCGGTCGCTCTGGCGGCTCTGGACCCTGGAGGACTGATCGAGTTTTCTTTATTGATCGAACGTATGGAATTCATCTGAAAAACGTGACATTATGCGTGTCACGGAAAAAAAGAAAAGAAATTAAACCTTATTAAAACTCTGTGGTGCAACTTGAGGTGACTCTGACGAGTTTTGTGCCACGAGGAGAGTATATATCGAAGGGAGAAAAGGATATAAACATAAACGTATATACGTGATAAAAAATAGGATAACGTTTCGTGTCCAAGATGTAGAGATTGTAGAGGCTCGAAAGAGGATTTGAATGTTTTGCGCGTACAAGATATCTGTATCTATCGGTATCGGTATGCTATTTACCTGTAAGAGACTTATTTTAACGTATAATTTTTTTATTTTTCTTATGATTCGTAGTCAAGGAACATTACACCGGCAACAAAACGCGTAATGCACAGGTGAGAGAAGATTTGCCGCGAGCCAGAGTCGAACAGGAATTGGAAGCACTGAGATATCAAACTTACGTTCAACAACAGTTAGTACGATTTGTATCGTTTAAAGATAGAGATTATTTCGTACGAGATGTCATTGTGCCTTTTAAAAGATCGTTTCCTTTTATTTTTCTTTTCTTTTCTTATATTTACTTAGTTATTTATTTATTTTTTCTTTTGCAAAGGGAAGAAAGAGACGCGCTTGTTGCGAGGCAGATTGCCCTATCTCTGGAGCGAGAGGAGAGACAGAGAGAGCGCGACGTGCAAGAAAGGATGAGATTACAACTGAGATTAGGAGATGAAGCTATGCAGCGAGAGTTTGAGAGACGTATGCAAGAAGAAAAGGATGAGGTAACCATGATATTTTGCGGTTAATGAAACCCTTGAAAGCAAAAAATACGCACGTACGTACGTACGTACGTATATCTTTGTTCATTTGAGAAAAAAAGAGACACGTTGCTAGCGTGAAAATGTAAATGTTAAAAGTCGGATTTTTTTTAACGACAGGAACTGGCGAAGAAGTTGCAACAAGAAGAAGAAGAAGATCACGACGATCCAGAAGACGAGCGATTAATGTTGGATCAAAAATTGGCGATGGAGGCGCAGGATGCTGAATTGGCGCGAATGCTTCAGGAGAAGGAGCGTACGAAAGCTCGTAAAGCGCGAGAGAGGGCAAGGCAGAAGAAGCTAGAGCGGGAGCGTCTGCAACTGCAACAACAACAACAGCAACAGGCAGATGAACAGAATCTCACGGAACGACCTCAAAGACCAGACAGGCTGGACTTGAAGACTGTGTCGATCAAGAATCGAGGCCGTTATTCTGCCAATTATTCTCAGTATTCGGATCCCGAGGAAATCCAGACGCTAGACACCGTTGACACGATGCGAGAAATGACAAATGTCGCAGCCATTATTGATCCTACTTACCATGTTCATCGAGGTACCTCGAGCAGCTCGAGCAGCACGATAAGCCCCACTTACGTTTTGCCGACGCCACCACAGGAGCTAATGACGGATGAGGTACCGTGTTACATGCCGATTCAAGGCCAACGACGAAATCAGGCTCAATCACCGTCTAACGCGCATGAGGAAAAGCATAAACGGCGAGTTAAAGACGGATGTAAGCATCAGTAAAAGTTTTGAGGGGGAGGGAGAGAGAGAGGTATTTTTTATTTAAAAATTCGACTTTTTCTCATTACCATCAAACGATGGCATAAATTAGTAAATATTTATTTCTTAAGTCTGTCTATAGCCGGTATTCATAGTCAGATCTTATATATAAGATCTGACTATGAATAACGGCCTATAAAGAGATGCAATTTTGTTACGTATTGAGCAATATTGATAATACATTTATTTAATATATTTGCATGTACTTTCGCAAAACGTGTGTGTGAATTTCAAGATTTTACGATTATTCATATTAATAGAATATATTGCCATATTACGTGATGATGTAAACCAATGTACTGCCATACATTGCACAAAGTATAATGTGCCTTTTAAGGGCATTTAAAGGAATTTAAGAGCCTTAACTTCAAAAATTAATGAATTACTCATATACATATATACATTATATACATATATATATACACACGAGATTACAATTGCTGATATCCGAAGGGATAGATTGTACCGTCCTCGATTTTCTTGTTACATTTCTTGGTAGCACTGGGGGGGGGGGAATAAATATTATTTTTAATGTTAACACGCTTCTCAGTGTTCAAATTTTCGACATTTTTAGCATAGAATAAAAGCAAAAAGATATCTTAGACAATAAGAGAACGATTTGTAACATATATTTTTCAACTTGATGCATTTATATGTAACGAGTAAGCAATGACGGTGTACAAATACTTATACACTGCAAGAGTTCATCATAAAATTTCATAATTTGCCCATAGATGGGTCAGATGGTACAGTGTGTAATTGAAACGCATGAGCAGATTATGAAAGATTGAAAAATTGTAAAAACTTTTTTCCAACGCATTCTTTATTGTTTAGTTAAGTGATTACGTTTAAAAGAATCTCTCGTGTTTTCGATACGTTCAAACTTGCTCTTCTAATGCCCGTATCACACTAGCGATTGGCGATTGCGTTTACGTTTGCGTCTACGTCTTTTGACCAATCAGAACGGAAATCGCGAATCGCACGCGCCAGCAGCTAGTTTCTGAGTGGTCAAGAGACGTAAACGCAAACGTAGACGCAATCGCCAATCGCTAGTGTAATACGGGCATAAAATATAATCATATGTATCCGCTACACATATTTATCACTGCTACAAGGGTTCTTTATAGCATGCGTGCTTAATTTGATAATAAATCGCGCCTACTTAAAATTCTTTTGTAGTTAGTAAGGTAGAACGTAAAAAATGACAACACTGCCAAAGATAACACTTTAATGTTGCCCTTTAGAAAAACGTTAATAAAGTTGATAAAGAAAATGTGAACACATATGTACGCATTACGTATGTGTAAAGATCTAGGTCGAACGAGTCTTATGCCCGTGTCACACTAGCGATTGGCAATTGCGTCTACGTTTACGTTTACTTTTCTTCAATCAGAAAGTAGCTGCTGGCGCGTGCGATTCGCGATTTCCGTTCTGATTGGTCAAAATACGTAAACGCAAACGTAAACGCAATCGTCAATCGCTAGTGATACGGGCATTTTACGTACTGCAATGTTTTCTAAACTATGAAACATATGAGCAAGTTTCTAAAATGTTTAGGTATATTGTCAATTGTAATATATCGAAGAGAAGTATTAGAATGCAGAATTGTGTTACGAAGGGTACGGTCGTTACATTTTCCTTCCAGAAAGAAAAGAAAAGGAAAAACATCTCTTTAATTACTTGCAATTTTAAAATAACACATCTATGAAGCGCTTAGAATTTATTTATTATTAATTCTCCGTCATTATATAAAGGATGTACATGGATTTATTGTATGTACAATGTATTATTTACTAACTTGTATAAGGACTGTGTTCAAAAGAATAAGAATCTCTATTGATAGTTTTTCCAAGCGATATTCCATTAGAATATATGAATTCCTTTTGTAACAATTATGCGTTATTTGTGGTGAGTGGAGTTTTCTCTCGTTTAATACTATCATATATTACCTTTTACATTTATTGTATCAATACAACTATACATGAGTATGTTAATAAATTATTTACAAAGATATGATACATTGCCTTCTTGTCGAAAATATTGTAGAGGGATGTGCTATATTATATGTAAAGTGTTTGTAGCAAAGTTTCTTGTGCTACAAAATGAAAATCCAGAAGAAATCTTAACGTAAAAAAAGTGACTACTGACAGTAGATATCTTAAAAAAATGTACGTGTAAACGGAATGAATACTATTGTAATGGTCAGAGAGTGCGCGCGCACGCGGGTGTATATGTGCCAAAAGTATTTGATATAGCACATTTTTCAATGATAGTTTATCATTAGAATACATTTTTTACGTGACATTCGTAGCCATATCTCTGTACACTTGTCAACTTGTGCATCGATGTAGAAATAACACGATACATCTGAGATTGGGTGAAACCCAATAATCTTTTCTATGCAACAAAAACATATATAATGTAATTTGATTCAATTATGCAGGTTTACAAATCTTTGATAAAAACAATCTTTAAAACTTTACAGATTATTCAAGAGAATCTCCTACGTGTTATCGAAAAAAAAGAAAAAAAAAAGAAAAGAAAGTACCTCTTCTAGATAATCTCAACATCATATTAGCTTATATTCCAGATATCTCTGTCGATTATTTCCCACCACGTGACAAAGTCTTAAAATATATTCTAATTAGAAAAAGAAAAAAACTCAATACTTTGTACTATATTTTTACCAGAATAGAATATAGACGCTGTAACTGGTCAATAACTTTTACGTATGTGACGTTTCCTAATATTTCTTTGAATTCGCGCCTAGTATAAGTGTCAAAAACTAATGCTTTGCAAAGGGTGATGAGCCGTACCGTTTTAATTGATAGAAGCACGCGTAATAGAAAAATGTTGCGGCTACAAAAAGAAATATGTGAAATCAATTTACAGGCGTATTGAAAGGTTGACAAATCCAAAATGTGGGCGATAGATACGCCAGAACTCCCGGGAAGTTTCCAGTTTTAATCTGTTCTGCTTTTGGATCTTTTAGATACAACGAATCTTTTCCGAAATCGTGATCCAAAGGTATTTATGACTAAACGTCCGTAACGGCCGGATTCGACGATGCCATGAGGTTTCTGGATAGTGAGCCGTTGTTTTCCTTGATGAGAACTCGGTATGAAGGAGCTTATTTTTCTGTGGAAAAAACATAGAGTATAAGCCAACTTGTATATCTTTCTCTCTCTCTCTTTCTCTCTCTCCCTCTCTCTCTCTCTTTCTCTCTCTAGTAGAGATGAAATAAAAATGATTAAAGCTTATGGAGAGAACACAGCGATGAGAGAAGAGCGATTGTGTCAAATCAATTAATGAATTACAACCTACGATGTTGGTTTGAAGAAATGTTTTTAGATCTGGTTTGGGGCGGTGAGAACACATAATTCGGGACTTCCCCAATGTCTGTAAATTGAAGACCACGATTTCATCAAACCGTGTTCGATATTTGAATACCTGCTATTCGACAAGCGAATGGAGTTACGTCCCATCGTATTATACTAATCGATCGACAAGTCCTATTCAGTTGTATGTACATTGTGTGCAAAGAGTTGACTAAAAACAGAAATCTATTACGGAAAGGAGAGAGAATTCAAAAGATAATTTACAATGTAATTTCTGAAAGCAACTCTCAAGCGATAAGAGATTCGATGTCGATAAAAAATTCCGTTTGTTACGATATTTGTAGAGCGTTTCCTGCGGCGCGGCGTAAGACCATTCACTTGGCGAGAGCGGGTCTATTCTCTCAAATCCGTTTCTCACCTTTCTCATCCAATGGCACGTCGTCCGTCTTCTCCGGTAGCGAAAAGGAAAATAGATTACTGGATTCTTGATTCACGCTGGTCTTGCGCGGTCTACCTCGTCCTCGTCTCGGCTTCACCGTTCCTTCCTTCTTCGTCTCCTTTGTCTCCTTCGTCGTGACTGACGCCGCCCTTTTCTTGGGCGTAGGAGCACTCTGGGCGGCTTCGCTATCCGCGACACCATCCTTCTCGTCTCTTTCGAGATTTGCCATATCCTCACTCATTTCCGCAAACTCTTCCGCTATCGGCGACACCACCGCGCGACTTGTCGCATCAACATTTCTGACCCTCCTCTTCATCTCCGTGCGTGTCACATCGGCGCTGGACGCTCTTCTTTCTCTGGCGTTACTTTGCACAGCCTTCTTCCTGGTGGATCTCGTCTCCCTCAACGGCGGACTCAAGATCTCCTCCAATTCCTCCGGTACGGACAGTACCGACGCGCTTCGAGCGCGCGTGGTTGTCGTTAATCTACCGACAATCTTCTCGACATTCCTAGCGGCGGACGTCCCGGTCTCGTCGGGTCCCGGTCGTCTCTCCGACTCCTCCCTCTCCCCCAGAGGCTCGGCGACCTCCAGGATGGTTTCTTTCATGACACTACCGGACCTACGTCGCCGCGAGCCTACGGGCTGCGCCGTCATCTCCTTAGGTACCGAACTGCCGCGTTTACGGTTAGCGATAACTTTAACAGCGCTCGGCTCCTTCGAACGCTGATCCTCATCCCAATCTCTCGTGGACGACCTCAATGACCTGTTGGTCGTTGCGGCATCGGTATCGGACGACACCGAAAACTTTCTCACACGCCGCAAAGACCTCTTGTTCGCGTTCTCGCCTTCTTCGTCGTCGCTCGTGAGCGTCCTCTCAGTCAAATCAGCCGCTCCTACTGGGGCGTCCGCCGGTAATTCTTTCTTCGTGAAAGAAGCGAATCTCGTGCTTCTCCTCACAGGTAGCTGCTCGTCCTTGACGCTCTCGGAGTCGCTGTTTTTCGTCTCGGCTGGCCGCGGCATTTCCATCGTCACGGACGTACATCTGCGACCTCTTCTCGCTGACGCGGACGGTCGCGCGTCCGGCGCGTCAACGTTTTCTGAACCTCGCGGCTCAACACTCTCGTCCATCGTCACCGAGCTCATTAGCACGTCCTTCGCGAGAGAGCTCGCTCTTCGGCCACGCAATTTTCCCAATGGAGAGCTTACCCTCGTCTCTTTCGCCGCCGAACTCGCTCTCCTCGAACGCGACAATTTTTCCAAGTCCACTTCCTGCAACGAACGATCCGTTGGCAATCTTAGCGTGGCCAGAGTCGTCTCATGAATCGGTTCTCGCGATCGCGCAAGTTTCCCAGCATCCGCGCTTTGTAATCGAAGCGAAGATATCTCCAAGGTATTTCGCGATGGAGAGTCCTTAGTCATTGAACTCGCTCTTCGTAGACGTGAGCGGGTGACTTTCTCCGACTGTACTTGCCGCGCCGATGAGGTATCCAACGTATCTTTTGCTGTCGAACCTGCTCTACGGGATCTAGTCATACGCACGGATTCGGAAATGTCTGCCGTCTCTTGAATTTCATTCCTCTCACTTTTCTTTGAGAAACTTTGAGTTTCTCGACCCGACAGCTTTCTCTCCTCGACCGTCCCCTCGGCCGATACCTCGATCCTACCGCTGTCTACTTTACATAGTTTTACATAGCTCGAAAAAATTTTGTTGGACTCGTCATGGACCGCGACGTCGGGCCCCGGTAAAGTCTCGGCGAGGTCTCTCTTCGGAACGCTTTCTCTCCTATCTGCCTTCCGGTTCTTCTCATCGGATTCACAGTTCTTCTCCACTTGGACTTTATTCCGCATCACATGGGGTTTTTGTGAATTGGAATATCTACCGTTTTCCGCTTTTGGTTCTTGAGTTTCTCCAGAACTACTAGAATCGGACTCGTCGTCTGTAATATTCGACATGTCGTACAATGTACGCTCCGAATGAACAATCGGCATCGAATGCGTCTCCCCTTTGCTGCTATTATCCGCTTCATCATCGAGTACTACCGGGGTCACAGCTCTGCTATTCGCAGAATCGTCGTCGGTCAAATCAACATCACCCATCACCCGCACCGATTCTTGCAACTCCTGCAAGCCGTTAGGTTTCGTCACGCTGCACGTTGCTTCGGCCTCGTATTCTGGATTCCAAGTCTCGTGAAACGAACAAGAAGCAGAAACTTGGCTGTCCAAATGCATCTGCGCGTCTTCCAGAATCGTGGCTAGACTCTCGAACGTCTCCTCGTGCTCGTCATTGTCTCGCTCCTCATCGTTTGGAAATCCAAGTAGCTCCTCCTCGTCAGACTCATCCGAAAAGATCGGACTCGATTCCGCGACCTTCTCAAATTCGTCGAGTGCGGGCATCTCGTAATTTTTTTCTCGTAAACTCGGACTATCTTCCCTCGCGATTCTTCCATTATTGAATCGGCTCTGTCGCATCTTGCTCTCTACGACCTTGTCTAAAGCATCTCTTTGTTCCACTCCTGGAGCGAGATCGCTCCCACCGCAACCAGATCGTTCGACGTACTCGGGTCTGTTGGATTCGCTTAGAACGTTAAAATCTTCCTCTACCTCGTACGCGTTATTCACGTCGTCCACTTCCATCGCTCGCTTGTCACTAATGGATGTTTGAGAAATTATAATCTTCGTTAGTGGAGTAGACGAAATGGCAAATTTATCTCTGCCATCTCTTTCCGTAGGCGATCTCCATTGCGACGGACTGATGCGTCTCGATCTCCTTGGGCAGCTAATGTCGACGCTGCTATCGGAGGACAGTACAGTGGTCGAGTAGACGGAGGCCGACAATAACGAGCTACCTCTCCTCGGTGTACCTGAGACAAACGGCTGCTTCGTCATCTCTTCGGTCGACGAGATCGCTGCGGACAAGTTTGCGAACGAGCCACTCGCTTTCTTGGCGCAAAATTCCTGTGGCACTTGTACGGACGAGTTTAAGGCACTTGTTCTGAGGCTGGGTCGCGGACGGGCGTAGCACGAAATCTTACCGGAGGTACTGCTACCGTCACTCAAAACTGCGCTTTCGCAATACGCTGACTTATTCGCGTTTGGACTGAAGAGCGCATCGTTACTCGCTTCTTTCCAACTTGCTTCGAGGGAAACATCAGTCTCACTTTCGTCCTGTTCCTCTTCCTCCCCTTGTCCTCTTGCCTCCTTCTCCTTCTCTTCCTCTTCCTCATACACTAAAGCTTTCTTGGACTGATTGATGTTAAATCGTATCTGTCTATTGACTTTCCTCTCCCTCTCGGACAATCTATCGGTGGCCTCCTTTGCTTGGAACGTCGCGGTAGGAGACGTCGAGCTTCTTACGAGTTGTCTAATCTTCAAAATCGATTGCGGTGTCTCTGGAACGCGATCCTTGCTCGTGGAAATATTAGGCTTGCGCTTTACCAGAGGCGTCTCGAAAGTCTCCTGAAATCCTAAAACTCCCGATTCTCTCGAAACTCGTTTACTCGGTGAGACTTTCCCGTCCGATAGTTTCCGGCGTTTTATGCCTTCCGACATGTCGTCCTCTTCGTCCTCCTTGTAAATCTGATCAACCGTGCGTTTGCCGCGACTTTTACGCAACAGCGTCGGGAACAACACACAGTTCATGTTTACGCCGTAATTGTTGAGTCTTAAGGACGTGCAGGGCGCACTGACAAACGGGATCTGACACTTCTCTCCTCGTACATAGGTCTCTCTGGCCTTCGTAATGGCCGTTTCATATATACTCCGCGACCTGTCGTGGCTCTTGCGATGTGACATCGGTCTGGAATAGCGCGCCTTCAGATCCGCGTCCGAATTTGTCATGGCCGCACGCATGGAGAATTGTTTCGCGACATCGGGCAAGGTCATTTCGTACGCGCCGAGAATACTGCTCGTAGTCGACTGCACGTCTTTGACCAGGTTCGACTGGTACTGCCGAATCGGATAACTTCCGTCAATTACTTCTGTGTAACGGCATCGTTGTAAATAGTACAACAAACGCAAATCTTCCATCTTGTTCTCTTCGAGAAACTTGACCAACACCTCCTCTTCCTCCGAGTCCAGCACTAAATGCAGAATTTCATCGAGCTTATTGTATCTCCTGCACGCTCGGAAGAAGCTAGTTAGCAGTTGTTCGTAGTGGCAGGGTGGCCGACAGTGGAAAGCGGACTGTAGCAGACCGTGCTCCACCGAGAGACTCATGGCCATACCTTGCTCTTCGATGGAGGACAGGGGAGGTTTCCTCACGCGAAGATATACTAGCGCCAGTTTGTGTTGATTATTACGCACCAAGGTGCGCAATATTAGCCGGTGGTGCCAATCCTTGATATCGGAGTCGCAGACTAACTGGCCAGTCATTGTGTCGAGGAATTCCTGATAATTTTCGTGATCGAGCAACCAGAATGCCTGAGTGAGCTTGATGAGGCTGGGGCTCATCATGAACGCGGACGGATATTTGATCAGTTGTTTCACCGCGGGATACAGCCGCTGCAGCAGCATAGCCAGGTCCATCAGGAGATAAATTGTGATCTGATGTCTGCAACTGATCTCCTTTGCTTCCGTCTGATGACAATCGGTTAAATAAGATCGTAGTAAAGATTGCAACGATGGCGGTGGATAGCAGCCACGCGTGACGATGCCACCTTCTCTTTCCCACTGTGCTTTCAATATGGAACACTCGCGCGTTATCAGCTCGTCAATAAACAAGTCTTGCTCGTTTTTGCTATCGCTGTCACTGTTGTTCAAAAATTGTGCTCGTTTCTCTTTATAAAGCATCGAAAGCTTCTCGTAGGGGTAAGGCACTCTTAGCGCTAGGGAGATAGACAGCGCAACCTTCTCCTCTTCTTCTTCTTGTTTTTCTTCTTCCTCGGCCTGCGCCTCCGCCTCTGCCTCTGCCTCTGTTGCCACCGCCGCTTTCTCCTCATTCTTCTCCTCCTCCAAATCATGCGTCTCGGGCAACAGTCCCACGTCGTAGAACCAAAGGAGTACTTGGAAATACGTAGATACGCGTCTCAACGTCCTTTGTTGCTTCATCAAGTCTACCGCCGCGGACGGCAATTTGCCCACTACATTGGACAAACATTCCAATTGCTGCGAGCAAAACCGCAAGGTTTTCACGTCAGTTTCGCCGATGCTAATGCCTGACTGATCAAATAGAGGAATGCAGAGCCGATCCGCGAGAATTTTTATCGTAGAAGCTCGCTGGACGGCCCACTTGAGGAAAGTGGGATATAAGTAAGAAGCACTACCGTCCGACCACTCCATGGCGCATTTTATCAGAAAAGTGGACCACCGCTGTTCCAAACAGAGCGACAGCAACATCTCTCGTTGCGCATTCTGATCGCTAGCAAACGAGAATTCCGAATTGAACGGCACCAGGCCGACCGAAAGACATCTGTGAAACGTTTCAAACGGTTGTATCAAGACGACTGGACCCGCCGTAGATATCTCACGTAGCAAGTCGGTCTGAATGCCACGTGTCATCCAGAACGTCAGTTTCGTCGAGTTCAACTCCACCCATTCGAGTGATAAGGAGTTGGGGTAGAAGAGTTCCTCGGGCGAGCTCGGGCCATTGCTGGAGAACTCTTGTAAACTTTGCGGGATATATGTGAAACCTATAACATGACCGTCTCCCTCACCTTTCGCGTCCGTTCGTGTACGATACGTTGCCAATATGCTGTTTGGATTCTGACACTCGCTGATGGTGTGCGGCATTTGCTCTTTGTACCATTGATTCAGATCGAACAGATATACTATGTCGTTAGTGGCGATGAGCAGTAGATTATCCTCGCCTCTTCTAGTGACCGATTCAGTCTGCTCCGGATTGGACTCTCTCTCAACGCTACACAAACCGACGACCTTGTCTCCTTCGTTCAGCTCCGATTCAAACTTCAAGCTGGGATCATCTTCTAGACTGAAGTACAAGTTTATCTCTCTGTCACAGTATTTCCTTTCAAATTGCATGGCGTACATTCGCAATATCGGCGGTGCTTTTGACATGTCGTCCTGAAACACTACCCATAAGTAATAAAAAGGTCTAGGGTCGTCCGTGGGTTCCAACAAAGCCAAATGCGTGATCGTCATGTTCTCATCGATGGGTGTACTGATCCATCCGATGGAACCATCGTTCTGCCAAATTATTACTCTGCCCAAACAGCCGGAGATTAAACAGCCAATCTTTGTGGAACTAATGATCGCGGTGGTCAAACTCTCGCCAAGCAAAGGAGACGATTCGAAATCTTCTCTGTTGAAGCCAATATGCTTTTCTATACCTAAAAATATATTGAATTTGCAAATATTAATTAAAGATTTGTGCGTCACACAGAAATACACGCACGCACACAAACACACACACACACACACACAAGTGCATCTCTCCTATCCTTAACATCCTTAACTAGAAGTGCATCTTCTATATCCTTAACATCCTTTAATAGTATCGATAGACTTTTTGAAACAAATGACTGATACTTGGATAAGTATTAGATTGGCCAATAAGTCCGTGCGGTTTTTTATAAGTAAAATTTTTAAGTAAAAAACCGCACGAACTTATATTTTGGCCAACCTAATATTTGACAATAATTTATTTGTACTTGTATGTAGCAACTTACGGTTGTTGAGCAAATTATAAGCTGCATGCTTTTCTCGAATGGACTGACGTCTACCGATAATTTGTTTCATCGGTGAAAAGTCTATCTCTGCTGGCGACGTTTCGTCCATAACAACCGACGAATCATGCGTATCCCATACGGTCCTCCGGAGATCAATCATGATATGATGAAGATTACGCAAAGCTACACAGGCCATTCCGTCCATTTCACTTAGCACATTATCGGGTCTCTTATCATTGAATTCCTCCCATTCTGCACCACCCGCTACAACGCATACTTGTTCTATCCCGCACGGCATCTATAAAACGTATGTGTGTACGTATACATATAATGCAAAGTACAAAAACCCTTACATATCCCATAATAGCCTTAATAGCGATTCAAAATGAGTACAGTTTAGAATTTAGAGAACCCCCGACAAATACTTACTCGAATAGCTCTCAAGACACGAGACGTAGTACAGTCGAATATACATAACAAACCAGAGGAATCTTTCAGTTTGGTCGCACAATTATCTATTCCAATCAGCAGCAATGGAAATTCTCCAGATTGCGCAGGAAATTGAGAAACGGATGTTACAACCCCACGAAATGTCCAACTGCTAACGCTTTCTCCTGTTTTCGCATTGAAGACTGTCAAGTGGCAACCGTAACTTAGCCACGCGTATGTTGCATTATGCAGAAATCCTCCACGGCAATCGTCAACGTCGTGCTCTTGGAGGTTCGTAGACTGACCGTACTCCAAGTTCCTCAACCAGTTTGATACAGGAAATTGAAGTTTCACGATCCTGCGAATCTGCACGAGGGCACAAATAAAAGCGATAAACCCTTCCCCATTCATCTAATTCATTATTATATTTTGATAAGATGTATTTTTATATTTTCGGCACAATTTGGCTCAAAGTGCCGAAAATATAAAAATGATGGTTGGAAACTATCGCGATAGGTTATATCGATAATTGGAATATTTTATGTGAATCGTTACCTCGCAATTGGCTTCCTCTAGCTCCTTCATTTCTCAGGCGAGCTACCGAAATATCATCGGTGAAAGTCGCATTTAAAAACCGTTCTTGCGGTTCGCAGATCGAGGTTATGTTGGCGCCAAACCTCACGTCCGTTCTCGACGTTCTCGTGACCGCCCGGGAGAGAGAGAGAAAGAGACACACACACACACGTACACACACGTGTAAGAGATAAAATTGCACGTGTAGTGGAAAGTGGGGCTTATAGGAAGAACTATACCAACTGCTACAGCCTAACACAGTAGCAAAGCAACGATATATGTATATACATATATACATACATATGCACATTGCACACAAATGTTCCCATAGGCTGCGTTCCAAAATTCACTCTGGGCTGCTCTGGGTAACTAAAATCTATAGTTTACGTCACATATGTGTACATACATATAGGCTGCATTCGAGGAGCGCGCTATTAGCGCTATTGCATCATTCTGTCTTTATCGCTCATCAGTTGTAAAACAAGGATAGAACAAGCAAATAGCGCTAATAGCGCGCTCCCCGAATGCAGCCATACTATAGCATTTTAGTTAACTAAAGTGAATTTTGGAACGCAGCCATGGATGCGCACCAATGCGCAAACTCGTTTCGTTTGTAGCAATGGCCAATCGGAGATTTTGTTCTAAATTTTAAAAAGAAATATGGTTGCTGTATGCGCAATGAACTTGCAACGTCCTGGTATTTATAACCTTCTTCAAATTCAAATTTGCCTTCAATTAATGTTTTGTTACACGAAAGTTTGAATCTCTCGATTTGTTGGAGCGGCTCGGAACTCGGAACTCGGAACTCGAAACTACTCGGAAATTCGAAATGGGAAGTAGCGAGATGCATCAATCAGTTGATCGATCATCGATCAGTATATTGTGATCTTCACTTGCTGTTCACGTTGTGTGTGTTGTTCATCGTTCATTATTGCAACAATGGAATGTGTATAAAATCGAGCAACTGTCATACTTGAAAGTTCAAGTCACCATTATCATACCTCAGCGGATATTATCACGTGGTATGCCGTATACAATATTAGACGTTCGAACAAAGACGAGATAAAGAGAGAATGTTGTCGACACCAAGAACAAAAGGTGGCCTATTTTTGGCTTCATCCCTCTGCGATGGACTTGAGGACAATAACATAAGGTAGAGGATGATTGTCAGTGTCACAATTGCATCTGTGCCTTGAACTTGTTGAGAGAATATTGAAAAATTATTAATTCGACTTGTAAATGTTTTTTCTATGCAGACAAGTGGCAACGCTTTTGCTAAACAAAGACGCGGATCCTAATGTCTTGATTCCAACTCACGGAGTTACTCCGTTTCATTTAGTTATCGGCAATGATTCGGAGGAATTCGCGGATCAAGTGACTAAGCTGTTCCTACGTCACGGCGGCAATCCCAATGTCAGGTATGAACTCACTAATAAACTATAATAAAATATAATTAAATAACGACCCCTTCTCGTATTTATGCAAACGCAAGTGCGATATATTTTTAGATCAGCAGACGGGATGACTCCGGTTCACGTAGCAGCAGCCTGGGGCAGAATAAACATACTACGGTTACTTTTGGCGAATGGCGGTGATCCGTTGTGCTTGGACAATGACGGACGCAGTCCGTTTCACTACGCCTTCGATGGCAAGTACTTTAAAGCTGTGACGATGCTCGCGAATCACTGTGAGAATATTCAAGACGAGGATGATGAACCAAAGTACAATATAGTACTTGGTAAGGTGTCAGCACTAGAGCACTTAATCCACATATAATTTTCAATTACTATTTATTATCTTTGCTCTTAATATTGCAGACAAGGTTTTAGTTGCTAATGGAGACGTAATTGCCGAATATGTTGCATCGAGAGATACGGTGATAGATGTAGATAACGTGACGCGGAAGAGTGTTCTTACCGATTCTTCCAATTGTCTTCCAAAGCCAGACTCCTCGATGATTGTAGACTCGAGCCGTGTGCCAGATATACGTGCTGTTGTTGAAACTAGATACGAATCGTCAAATAAGATGGATTTAGATGGATGTTCCTTTAGAACTAATCATATGTCGACTGTTCAAATACAGAATAATCTTTTGCAATCTAAATCTAAGAAAGGAATGTCAAATTACCCGTATTATGTTGATCTCGATGTTGACTTTGCGAATCTCCATCTTTCCGATGTCATGCAGAAGGAAAAGTGCCTCGTCAGTCAAATAATTAATCATCTTTCCTCGTCGTTAACAAGTAACTGCAGTATTAATGAGACCTTACACAATTACAAGAGAAACAAACAAGAGGAAAGCAGTACTGCGACAAGCACGTCCGACACGTCTGTCCATCTAAAGGGAGATGCAGATGCACGGTATAAATATAAATATAAATGTTGTCAAAGAAAATCAAAGAATTTTCAATGTAAAATAAACAACAACCTTGAAAAGAAAGATATCTTGAAACTTGGCACCCCGAGTACAAGAAGACAATACTCCAAGTATAACGTACAAAACTCTCCCCAGAGAAAGTGCAAAGATATCTCTGGGAAAATTTCTCAAACGCCAACTCGTATCCTGGATAATTCTATCATTAGCATGTCACCGAACTTTAATACACCTAGTCATAGAGAGAGAAGAAACACTCGTAAAACTTCATCAACACCATCGAATATTTGCAATGATTCTATTGTTAGCAAATCGCCTAATTTTATCCCAGTTTGTATGAGGAAGAGAAATCTAACAAAGACGTCATGCGTGGATTCCCAGAAATTATTCAAGAAATCTCCCAAATACGAAACTCAACTGCAATATTCTGAATTTAATTGGTACAAAAAACGTGTCGCTCAATCAACACCAAGAAGAAAGAAACGATCGATATACAAGTTTCACTCCGGCAGAAAAAGATTGGATCCTTATCGCCATCGGTATGAAAGCGACGTCACTTCTGATGAATTTATTTCGAATAATAGTAATAATATATTAAAGCCAGTTGATTTGAATAAAACAATCTTTTTCGAGACAGCTGAAGATACAACTCGCTATGACATTCTAGATACGAGTACCGCGCGCGAACGTCCGTTATCAAATTTTAAAAAACATTCGAAAATAAAACGACAAAATCAATATAATAACCATTTGGCAATAAAGTTGGATGAAGGAAGATATGACGAGAATGACGTAACAGACAATAACAGTGATGTAAATCTTTTCGACGCAAATAGCAGTTTTTTTAATCAAATTGCGAAAGAGAACGAACCTGTTAACAATTTTAGCAATAATAAGAAATATGTTAAGTATGAAGATAATGAAGTAAACGCAGGATTTATAACAGTCAGAAAAAATATATTTAATATTGACAAAACACTGGAAAAATCAGTGGACATTAATAATACGAAATCTGCATATACAATTGAGTCTGATTCGTTGCGTAAGGAAAACTTTGTAGATTGTGTCGATTGTGATACTAAGAGATTATTAAATGAAGATTTAAATATGAATATAAGCAAGACTTGTAATTTACATGCAAAAAATTCGTACAGTGATAGATTTCACGTATCTCCGTTACGTAAATCGCCTGTGGAAAATGATTCACTGCCCGCTACGAATTTACCTACATCTATACCTATACCTGTACGATGTAAGAAACAAATTTATTTACCGGATTCCCAAATATCATGTTCCTCGACAAGTACCGATTCCAAGAAGACAGGTTTACTGAAAGCAAAAGACTTGGATATGTATAAAGCTGAAGATAACTCGTGAGTATATCTTAAGAACAATATCGTTGAAAGACCAATTACTTGAATGTTGTGAATTGCAGGTCTCTGCTTTCATATATCAGCACTCAAGAATACAAATATGAAGATCCAGAAGAAGGTGTCGTTTTATTAGAACGGCGACTTTGCGTTACACCATTTAGGTGAGTTTAAATTACAATTACAATTTTCGCTTTCACTTAATCTGTAATCTGCATTAAGTTGAATCGTTGAGCCATATCGCACTCGTTTGTTTGTAACAAGGGGAAAATCAAGTTTATCAAGAAGTTAATCTTATCAAACAATTTTTCAGTACTTCCGATAGAAGTGAATGTGATGTCAGAAGTAAAATGGCCATGTCTGGTAAGTTGGAAATACATAATTTTTATGTTATTATTAATTATCTTAAAGGATCATTATATCGATAGCATTGAAAAATAATTGGGCTATTACAGGTGCTGCAAGTACATCCATTTCTCATCCAAGTTTACCAGAAGAAATACTATTTATCGATGACGTTGCTCTTAGACGAGAGCTTAGACAGCTTGGCGATCAACCTGGCCCAATCACTAATACGACTAGGCAGCTTTATCAAAAACGACTTTTGCGTTTAAAAAATATCAAGGATGCTAATCCTGCTTCATTCGTGCCAAATCTGCAGAATGCTCCAAGAAATCAGACCTCAAGGCTAAGCAACGAAATCAGACCTTATTTAGAATTTGGAGATTGGTTAAATCACCTGGATACTTACAAAAGTCTGGAGAAGCAAGTATTTCAAGAATTTGCATCGCCAGATCCGTCTCGAAGATGGCGCGAAGGCACATCGAAAACATCTTTCACCTACTTGCTATTAGATTCGCGTATAACGCAGGATCTACCAAATCGCAGTGTTTACCTTACACAATCAGAAGTTTGGTCAATTTTTCTTGGTGCTATATTTTACATTGGTAAAGGCAAACGTTCCAGGCCTTTCGCTCATCTCTATGACGCTTTCAAGACATGGGTGGATGGATCGATCAGTACGAATAGAAAAATCAACTGCATTCTCGATGTGTGGAACAGCGATCACGGGGTGATCTGTTTGCATGTTTTTCAAAATATTATCCCAGTAGAGGCTTATACGAGAGAGGCCGCCATGATAGATGCAATAGGAAAGGAACATTTAGGAAACTCCAAAGGTGGAGAGTACTACGGCATTGCGGCAACGTGGAGCATGCAAGAAAAACAGAAATTTGGTAGATACTTATTGTACAAAGCTTTACAAATTTTTATGCAGGAGGGAGAGCGTCAGCTCTTCCCTTACCATTTGTAATGCAACCGAAGCAAGATGGATGTAATATAAAAAATCAGTTTTAAATGTCGCATCAGACTTAATCTATGTAGATATAAATATGATGTATATTAATTTTTTTATGTGCAGATAACACGATGTGACGATCGTAATGTTTCCACCAATTTTATTTAACGAGTTTGTAGGATACATAATGATTGTGTGCAATTTGATAAAATAAATATATATATTTATACGTATGTAAAATATTGTTGAGGCAAAGAATGTACACTGCTCCGCGAGTTGAGAGAAAGAGAGAATTGCATTACAAAAGTACAAATAGACCATATTAAGATCATGTATGTAACGACTGCAAAACGTACGTCCGTTTAACTTTTAACACAAAAACGTGGAATCATGATATTGTATGTGAGTTCTCGCAAGAAATGGGCACACCAAGTATGTATGCAGTTAATTTATACACAGACAGATGTGACGATTATCTTTGTACATTTACTGATACATGTTTTGCAAAGTATAACTACATGTGTAAGGAGAATTAAATAAATAGTACTTTTTTTTGCCAAAAAACCTCTCAAATCCTTCTCGAATACTATAAATATGGCCTGTCAGGTTCCGTGTCTTTCGCTTTCTTATCTCTGCTCCTAGGATACCACCTGTGCTTGGTGGTGTATGTGATTTTTGCCAACTCTTCCACGATCTGATATGGCTTCTTCTTCCTAAAAACGTCCGCGACGTCTTTGTCTCCGATACAGAGTACGGCGGTGTCGGGCTTCTCCTCGGGCAGAGGTAAAGAGCACTCGTACGGAAACGGTTTCTCCGGATGCCAGCAGACAACCATGCGATCGTCTTCCGTAAATATTACCGCTTCCGAAGGTAGAGTACTGTATTTGGCGTGTCTCGCGAAGCGGACGCAAGCTCGTATGGTGCGTAACACAGGATTCATCTGCGGTGAAAAATCATGATTAACAACACTCATTCGTTAACATTTTAACTCGTCAACAAATACAATTAATCGCGCAACATAACAATCTTTCATAGTAACATTCTCAGCCGTTTTAAGCAATGGTCAAGTAATTAATCGAACCTCGCGCTGTTTTAGTTTCGTATTTCAATATCTATTTATCTTCATGGATTTTTGCGAAGAGGAGATTCCGATTTGAACGCCTGACCTAACCTCCTTGTTCAATCTTCAATCGCTAGAACACGAGTGCCCGAACACAGACACGAACCACGAACCGGAACCATGTACCGTTTACCGAGCGAAACGTTTGACCCGTAGTTGAGTTGTATGTATGTACTTTCTCAGGGGGCAGCATCAGGCCATGATTTCCGGTGGCTGCTCTCGTGCCAAATAGGCTATTGTTTCCACTGGTATATATTTTGTATTTTTGTAATAAATAAAAAAAAAGTGGCCGCTCTCAAGTTTCTCCAGGTTTCTCTCTGTTGCCATACTGCTTACAGCTTACAGCACGGCAGTTACGGCAAGAAAAGCCCACGCAGGAATCCGCATCAACTTTATACGTATATATACATGTGTATGTATGTACATAAATACATATGATCTACCAGGTTCATTTCATGGTGTATGAAGGGATCAAGGTGTGGAGAGTGCGTGCGTGGCTAACAGTCACAGTAACGACTGTGTGCGAGGTGGTGCGAGGACTGCAAGAGTGCGAGGTGCGAGTGGTGCGACTGATGGCTGATGGCATGGCACTGATGCGAGGAGGAGAGAGCTGAAAGAGTCTGTCGCGCGTCGAGGAGCGTCAGAAGCGTCGAACAGCGTCGAATGGATCCGATTAGCTGTCCTGCGTTTTCTACGTTACCTGCGTAGAGCCTGCTGTACAGGAGCGTTATCGGCCAGCGAGAGTGACGGAGGAAAGCATGATAGCGGTGGATCGGCGGATACGGTCTTGCTGAAATACCTAATTCTCGCGCGCTTTAGCGAAGTTGTAAAGATCGGTGGAGTGTAGACTTGTAGAGTGTGGAGAGAGTCATAGAGAAGGATTCCGGAGCGTCGACGTGCCTTCAGAGTCGCACGGCAATGCGAGCACGCCACGATTTCTTCGCGAGCAAACCTGATCGCCTTTCTCGCCTTTCAGCGGTCGACGTCGCGACGTTGCTGAAACCGTAGATCAAGTAGCGCGTATCACTTGGCCATTCTAACCGAGCCTGGAGTGTCGAGTCTGAAATTCCAGAGATCTAACTTTTCTCTCTTTCGCGAAAAAGCGATAACTCCTCTGTGCCTGCAGGAGGTGGTCCTTGATTGCATTACTTTTGGTGAAGGTGCGCAAAATTGAAGCGACAGGATGATGATGGGCGATCAGTTTCGCAGTAAAGTGGAGCAATACTCACCCAAGTCCTCGCCAAGGGGAGCACGGTCTCCAGTTGTATCTCGGCAAGATTCTACGGGAACGCTAAAGACAACCATTTCCCTCGGGAAGAACCCTTCCATTGTCCACAGTGGGCCGTTTTATCTGATGAAGGAACCTCCAGGTAATGAGAAAATCATAAAAATAGAAAGGGAAAAAAATCAATCTATAGATATATTAAAATATTTTTCTTCTTTTAATTCGATTCAAAATTGTATATAAATAAATGTACCGCTCTCTTTTAGGGGAAAGCGAACTCACCGGAGCAACAAATTTGATGGCTTATTACGGCCTAGAACACTCCTATAGCAAGTTCAGTGGGAAAAAGCTCAAAGAGCAACTGTCGTCTTTTCTGCCAAACTTGCCTGGTATTATAGACAGACCTGGACACCAAGATAATAGGTAATTTAAGTTGCACAAGAGTGTCAAAACGTCACAAGTTCGTGATTGTACTTGATGTTTTCGTCCTTTTCTTTCTTTTTAAGCTCACTGAGGTCGGTAATTGAGAAACCTCCCATAGGCGGTAAAGAGCTATTGCCTTTAACGAGTGTACAGCTTGCTGGTTTTCGATTGCATCCTGGCCCAGTAAGTATTCTCTTCTTATCTTCTTACATTAAATATATAATATATATTTAATTATTATTAATATATCTATTAATATATTTCTTTCCTAAAATAATCAAGTACATGTGCAACGTGCTAAGTAGCATACTTAATATAACTTTGCAGCTACCAGAACAATATAGATACATAAATCAAGCCCCTCAGAGAAAACACAAAAATAAGCATAAGAAGCACAAGCACAAGCCTGGGGAAGTGCTCAGTGGACAGGAGACCGCGACGACGGACGTAGGTGGTTCCGATACGCATGAAAAGAAGCATAAGAAACAGAAAAGACACGACGAGGAAAAGGAGGCTAGGAAGAAACGAAAGAAGGAGAAAAAGAGGAAAAAGCAGAAGCACAGCCCCGAGCATACCGGCAGCCTCACCCCGTCTCAGCATTCCACCTCGTGATCTCTAATCTGTCCTTTTCAATTCACGCCAAATTTTTGATTTTACACGCAAAATATACCACAAGTATATATTTATTTGCGCTAGGGCTGTAAATATATGGATAATATGATGTACGGATTAATTATTATATACGTTTGCGCAAATAGACACGTTGGATTCGAACCTCGTCAACTTGGATGGATATTTTTTATTGAGATTTGAATCGTATTTGAATTTGTATCAACAGTCGAACAATTCAGGGTGAATTGATTAATCGAATCTCTATTAGCAGATACTCGTATTAACATCCGAATGTCCCGACCATATTTACAGTCCTGAATTACGCGCAATGTAAGTATATGCTTATTTTTTCGTTAGGACGTTAGATGATATACGACAAGGAAGAGAACTCTACGTGCAAATCATGTTCATGTATATATACGTCGCATTATAAAGTAATGATAACAATTTTTTTTCTTCTTTATTCGAAGGATTGTGTATCAGTCTGCTTTTATTAGAGCCGGTGTAGACTTGTGAAAAGCTTTACACTTAACGAAATTGTTTGCTCAATCTTCCTTATTATTTCGACGTTATTAGACGAACGTCACAATTACATGCGTTAGAGTGGAAAGGTTCTCCTAGCTAAGCGGAGCTAAGTTTCGTCAAATCTCGGCGCCAAAATCGGTAATGTGAAGTCCGCGTTTTATTTTTAAAACAACCCTTGCATATTCGGAAATTGCTTGGTGAAAGGGAAGTGTAAAATATGACCGCGTGTGACATATACATATGATCGTGCGCAGGATACGGTTGTCCCGATCGCGCGGTCACTTATGCAGCATCGCATTATAATTTGTAATACGGTTGTATCGTTACTCAAAACTAGGATGTAAATATACGTAACGAATTAACGAAAGACTGTGTAAAGAGAGAATCATCCGATCAGCAGTGTCCACTGCTGTTTTCTGTTAAGTGCTCGTTTGCGAAATTTATAAGTGTACATACAATCTACGTGCTTAAGCCCGATACGATGGGTAGCGTAGAGAGAGAGCGAATAAGGTATATATCGAAGAGAAGATGCGAATCTAGATGTAATATTTATAAGATTCGAATCTAGATGTAATATTTATAACGCGAAAGGAACAGAGAATTAAAGTGATCGATTTCGCAACACAGCAGTTGAACGCTGGAATCGTCCAAATTTCTCGACTCAATTATCTTTCATTCATTCTCCCTGCAACGACGTAACAAGTGTTCGAACCCGCGTTCGTTATCCGGAGACAGCGAAAATAGAGATACCCGCAGCTTTCAATACCTTCTAGGACATAGGAATCGTCAAAATTATCAGCGGACAGCGGAATTATGTATGTATCTTGGCTGCATTCCGATATTCACTGTCAGCAACTTTCAGTACTGAAAATCCTACAGTATACGTGACGTAAAATATAGATTTGCAGTACTGACAGTGAATATCGGAATGCAGCCCTTGACGCAAGAAGCGATCAACATAAAGTTGTCGCGCGCGAATTCAAATGTTCAAATTCACGCGGATACTGAGAAATGTGCTACACCAGCCGTACTTTCGGCACTCATCAGAACTTGGAACCGGGCGAAGCGGAGAGCTAGGTTCCGCTGTTGTCCGTGTTGTCGTCGTCGTCGAAAGTGTCGAAACCACGTGGTCGAAACCAAATTCGCGTAGTACGCAGTACGCGTTGCGTTGCGCACAAGGCACATTGCACAAGGCATAACTTCGCGACTCGTTGACGTTGACCATCCACTGATCGTCGTTGACGAGTGTTGACAAGGTCACGTTGCGAACAAGGATGCAGAGTAGCGTACTCCGCGGTCTCCGCGCGATGAGTTTCCAGCTGTTGCAGAGACGCCTCTTCAAAAAGTACCACGTGAGGGTTAGATTCGCGCCCAGCCCCACTGGTAACGATCGTCGCACTGAAGAAGAGGTAACCGGGTTATTACGGTTTCCTCTTCTCTGCTCTTAATTTTGTTGCCGAGGCAGTACCGACACTAATTTCTCGGTTCTCTGCCTCGTCCTATATAGAGCGCCGAGTCTTATATTCACTTTGTGCACGTTTCTCAGGCCACTTGCATTTAGGAGGATTGCGTACCGCGCTGTACAATTATTTGTTCGCACGTAGCAATAACGGCACGTTTATTCTGAGAATAGAGGACACCGATCGGACAAGGACAGTTCCTGGGACAATAGAAAAACTCCAGGATGATTTGCTGTGGGCAGGGATTATACCCGACGAAGATCCTACCAGAGGTGGTCCTGTGGGCCCTTACTTGCAGTCCGCGAGGCTTGAATTATACAAGTATGTAAACAGAATTTGCTATTTCGCAATATATATAGGTATTTTATTTTTGAATAATTGCAAAGTGGCAAATTCCGCTTGAATCTGTCAGCATCCTGCTAACGCTATGTTTCCTGGAAAACTAAAACCTAGAATCCTAAATAATTTTAGTCTAATACTCTAATGTATTCAGTCTTTTCTATATAATGTACCTTACAAATCCATTATTCGTTCCAGCGAGCAAGTACTTAAACTCTTGAACGATGGATCCGCTTATTACTGCTTCTGTACGGAAAAAAGGCTGGAATTGTTGAGGAAAGAGGCGATCAAGTGTGGACAAATACCCAAGTACGACAACAGGTGTCGGCATCTTGCTGAGGATAAAATTAAGGAAATGCTCCTGAAGGACTCAACTTATTGTATTAGATTTAAGGTATGTCTCTTTTAAACTTATATAATTTGATCGACACAGATCGACGGATAGAGACTGATAGTTGTAGATTTATTTATAGCTGTTGCTTTTGTTGAATATCTCAGTTGTCGTCCACACCAGAAGCTTTTCGTGACATGGTTTACGGAGATGTGTTGCATGATATTACCAAGTCTGAAGGAGATCCAGTTATCATAAAATCAGATGGCTATCCTACTTATCATTTTGCAAATGTAGTCGATGATCATTTTATGGAAATATCTCATGTCTTACGGGGTGTTGAATGGCAAGTTTCTACGCCTAAACATATTATGCTTTATAAGTAAGTATATAAGTAGTTTTATTTGAGATAATTAAATCTCGTATAAAATTCTTATAATTAGCTGTATTATAAATTTTATCTATTACAGAGCACTTGGCTGGGATCCTCCCATATATGGACACTTACCTTTAATATTGAACGCAGATGGATCCAAGTTGTCGAAAAGACAAGGTGACATAAAGGTCGAGTCATTTAGGAAACAGGGTATTTTTCCATTAGCGTTGTTGAATTACGTGATAGGGGCTGGTGGTGGTTTCCACGGAGAACGGCAGAGCCAAGATCTTTACAGTTATCAAGAATTAATTAAACAGGTAATTGCTACTGGAGGAAAACAAGTTTCCTTTTATATAAAATGTAAATAGTCCAGTCGCCAGGTTGATTGAACATTTTTTCGAGGTTGCTGGCTTAAATTTTTTTTTTTTTTTTTTTTTTTTATCGACTTACGAAAAAACTTTACAGATTTTTGTTCTACGACCCAAAAAAACAAAAAAACATCATTTTAAGCCATCAACCTTGAAAAAATGCTCAATCGACCTGGCGACTGGACTGAAAACCCTGTGTATAAAACTTGATTTATGCATGTCAGAAAACACATGTATATAAGTCACATATCACATACATTCTATTTTCCATTCCAGTTTGACATCAATAAAATAAAATCGAGTTCTGGCAAACTTATGCCTGAGAAACTATTGGAATTTAACAAATTGGAAATGACAAATTTACTACAAAATGAAAAAAACCATAAATTTTTTATTGAGAGAATTAAAAAATTAGTGTTAGAAGCATTCGCCGAATGGTATGTTTAATTCTATACATACATATATAAAAGCATTGTTGAAAGTATTCTTACTCATTCAAGAAATTTGCATCATTTCTATTTTAGGAAAAATGATGGAAATTTGCAATTGGATGATAATCACATATTAACTACATTAAAGTGGGCACAGAATAGAATATCGACACTCAATGATCTCGTCAAAGAAGATTTAGCATTTTTATGGATTGTCCCATCTTCTATGCCAAATGTTAAACAAGCTGAATGTTCAGGTATTGATATATCTCTCTTCGCACAAAAAAGGTATCGAGTCCCATTTGTCAAAGCAGTCATTACATGTTATTATTTCAGACGCGATTAAACTATTGAACGCGGAATTGGTTGAAATAGATGCTAGTAATTACAAGACTGATTGGATGGCGCCGTATCTGAAGAATTTTGCCAAGAAGAACGGAGTTCCGTTCGCTGCTTTGATGAAAACTCTGAGAAGCATTATGAGCGGCGTAAAGGTAAATATAGCACCCGAATTTACTTTTATTGTGGGAAAAAATATCAATATATGTAATACATATATAAAATCAATGTTTCATAGGTCGGACCACCTGTTGCTGAAATGATGGAAATTTTGGGAAAAGACAGAACGTTGTTGCGATTACAGCGTTGCGTTTCTTGAGAATTTATTTGTTATTTAATTGTAAATTGAAATTTAATTGTGCTTGTCAAAGGTAAAGGTAAAATACGTTTTTTTCATATATACATACAAAAAATCTGCAAAATGATGTGAATTTTCGTCGGTATATTGGATTAAATTGCTAATATGTTTATTATTAGTTTGTGTGTGCGTGTGCGTGTGTGTGGGTGCGCGCGCGCGTGTTTATAAAAAAAAACATAAGAATGTATACCTCAAATAACATTAAACAACAAAAATATTAATAATTTTATAATATTACCATTTGTCACATTTTTTACAACTTTTGAATAGCTTATTAAGAAAATAATGTAGAAACTCGGAACTATAGAACTTTGAGATTTAACTTTATTATAGAATAGTGATTTTTTTATACACATTGTGAATAATTTGTAATATTTATACACTTAAGTACAAAAAGATTAATACATGTAGAAATTATGCGTAATTATCTTGACGAAAATAGATGTATAACAGATTGAACACGTTTTTATTCTTAATAGCTTTTTCGATACAATGCGAGACTTTCCTTGTACAACACAGGATTTATAACACATGCATATTCAAATGCTTGGAAAGCACATTTGATATTAGCACTGTAGTTTTTAAAACAAAGTCTGAAAATTTCATAGAAAAAAACATGTTTTATAGCAATAATTAAATTCTTTGATGAAGAATGAAAATGGAGAAATTGTAGATAAGAATGGTGGACCAAGATTAGATGTCTATTTTGATTACAATAAAACAGATTACTAAATTGGTATTTATTAATGTTGCTACGTTAATATACTTATAAATCCTGTTATTGTATCAATTTCAAAATATTGCTTGATAAATTACCAATTGATATGCCTGGTATCATAACGATACCGATGAATAACGATTCTGAATTGTTCGGACGAAATATTATCTTTCCTCGAAAGTTTGGCTTTATTGTGTAAAATCATTATGAAACCAATTTTAATACAAATATAAATCTGTGCTTGCGTAAGGCCTGTGTTGCTACAAATAAATATCTTTTCCTTAATCTCCAAAATAGTATCTGTACATAAAAATAATACTAAATGAGTAAATGAATACAAGATTCTTTATACCTTTTAATACTCAGTTAAAAAGACAGTAAAATTGAGTATTACTTAATGAAATGTAAATCCTAAGTTGTCTCCAGAGTGCAATTCCAGAATAGTGTAATCAAATATAAGTTATAATCAAAATTGAAACTATGTAAACAAAGGTGGTTGACACAGACTAATTTATATCTTCATGTATACACATTTAAACTTATATACAAATCTTAATGTTAAAAAACTTGACATATTTTCATCTTAAGACATAAGAAAATCTTATGATTAAAATAAATCTTGTATATTGCCAAAATATTCGGATAAATAATATTTTAATACCGTAGAGACGATAACTTCTCTTGCATTATAGATTAGTTTTTATCACAGTAGCTTTAGATTTATGTTGTAATTTACTTATAGTCCTACTCTGTGAACCGGAGATTTCCTATGTCTTCTGGATGTATAATATATCCATCAATCTATATACTATTTTCAATTTAAAACTATTATAAAATGTATCTATTAATTGTTTAAATCTTTAAATGTATTAAGTATGTATGATTTTAGAAAGTTTTATTAAAAACAAATTAATCGAAAAAGCTGCAAAACAGGAATATTCATATTTACCTGGTGAATTTTTCCAACGGAAAAAAATAAAAATTTGTAATAACAAAATAGTTTAGAATTTTTCAATCTCTCTCACGAATTGTTTTGATCAACAAATATATATTTAAAACAGTTTTAAAAGTTTTCAGATTATTCACTACAAACAAACGCAAATATTCTCTAAATGAATTTTAAAATCTAATTCCATATGTAGAATGTATATATAATACCACTGCTTTTATACATATATTTCGAAGATTATTTAAGAGCTAGTGATAACCCTAAAAACAGGAACGTCTAAAATTAACGCACAACTAAAATAATAAGGAAAAAAAGATACATTGTATATCTTCGCACGTCTGCTGTCCATTTAGAATTACATAAAAATAGCATATTTAAATCAACGGATCAAGCGGTCACGCAAAATTTATCACAGATAAAATGCTCCCGCGAATGCATATACATAAAAAAAAGTATAGGATACGTCTCAAGTGAAAGAAATGTTTAGAAAAGGTACAGGTGCAAGTAGGTTCCTAGAAAACTCTACGAATACCTACTATTCTTTTCAAACTCCTTCGGACTCCTTATCTTTGCGTGGATCCGATTACATATACATTATTAATAATATAGAAAAACGGCATATCCCTAGGAACAGTAGTTGAATACGATTAAATATGTTTGCTTGTATATCAATACACACACACACACACACACACGCACACCTTTCCAACATTTCATCGTAAATTGTGAGGTACGTTTGTCATTTGTTTTATTTTAATAAGTATATAAAACAACGTGTACACACTCTGGAAAGGAATATGTGTATATTATAACAATACGATCCTTATTATTATACACGTGTGGGTTACGCACGATAATACGAGATTGTCAATTCTGTATACGTTAGTAATCTTACTGCAGAAATATCTGAGGAATACACATGAGATATAACAGTGACAGAACTATCTCTATATACATATATATAAAAAGAGAGAGAGCAGAAGACTTAAAGTTATAAAAATTGACAGGGTATTAAATAAATATAAAGATTACGGTTTAAAGTGTTAGTTTTAAGAAGGTATAATCATTTATCTAACGTATTATTTTCTTTCCTTCTCTAGAAAAATTGATTTAGTTTTTAGATATTCAATAAATTATTTCCAAGAGAGAAATAATAAAATTACATATAAAAAAAGTTAATTAATATTACTTGAACGTTATAATTCTGAATGATTTTTAATTCTTCCTCAAAGATGCATTACATTGTATAAATTAAAAGTTATCGAATATAATATTATTCTACGTAATACTGTATTACATTATTGCAATAATGTTATCTATTGAGGTGCAACGTTTTGTCGCATGATTGTAATGACATAGTTTTCATAAAGTTACATAAGACAAAAACACACACCTGTAGATATTGCAGTCACGAATTATATATAATTTCGTATTTCTAAATTAAAAATAAAAAGAGGATAATATACAATGTGATTAATGCATGTAACATTCATGTATATGTAACATATAGACTTTACGTCCGTTTTCCTTGTCTGTATGTAAGATTTAGTGACTCCTAGCATATAGGCACTTTTGTCCTTTCAGATATACATCGAAATGTAAAGACATTTTTTTTATGTTGCGCAAATAAGCTGTTAAATTAAGTTCGTTAGTGTCTTGTATTAAAAGACATTGTATAAAAGACAAAAATAAGTAAGTCGTCATAATGCATTAACATTAGAACCTGTGGTAATCTACATCGCTTAAATAAAGAGTTTACATTCTTCTGTTACGATAAGAATAGCATTCTCTGTATAATTATATAGTAATCGTAGTTTGATTAGACTTCGTTTTAAGTTTCATTAGCTAATATCATCGCATGTATGTTGATTCATATTATTATTTGTTTTATCGTATAAGACTAATTGTAAGTGTCTAAGTGTCACTACAATATGTTCATCTATTTGTAACTGTGAGAACTACGTACTACGTATTACGGAATGTAATACTAAAAGTGTAATACAAATACGTTTTCATATCGAGATTTTTTAATTATCACATAATATCGAAGTAAGGACATACGAACAAACAACTGTCGGAAAGTGGGAAAATTGCACTGCAACTTGTTCGATTGTGAATATGATTATAGCAATAATATTTGATTTTTACGCTGATAGAAAATTAGCAGCGAGCGACTCTATCTAAATAATTGTACTGTTACACGACCAATAATCGATTATTGGAGAATGTTACAGATAATACAGATTATAAAAATAGATAAATTTATAACTCAACACAGATAAGATAGTGAAGACTAGTTTTATTAAGGAAGCAGGGTAAGAAGCTCACAAAACAAGGAACCCAACCTGCGAATCCGTAGGAAGAAGAAAAATATTCTTATTATATACACAATAACTCTTTTGCCAACTTTTTAGAACTACTATAGCATACATTTTGCATTTCTAGCTCTTCTCAATTATCGTTTTTTATTGCCATAATATATGTAAATTCACTTTCATATACATCTTGGCCCAAGCATTGCTTTTCGAACTAATCATTAACAAACAACCGAATTAAACAACCGAGAAAGCAAAAAATCTGCGTGTATAATTACAGGATTATACAGTCTCGTCATCACATATTATCTATATTATCTATAAGTAGCTCGAAAGTCGAAAGAAGTAATAGAAGACGTAATAAGAGACGTAATAACAGTAAAAAGAAGTAATAGTAGACGAAACAAATTGACCGAAATTGACAAGTTAAAGAATACAGATATAATATAAATTGATTTTCGTGAAAGACATAAGAAACGCTTTCCCAAGTATGCGGTACTCGCGAGTTTAAAATATTCGTGCCGCGTGTAAGACTCATCAATTTCAAACGGTAGGAATACACGCAGCAGTTGCTAAATATACCCGAGACATTGTAAGTTATCTTAATAATAGTCAGTGATATAAAAAGTTTGCTATTTTACAAGGAATATCTACTCCGTACGTGTGTGCAGTTTATACGAGACTTTCGTCTTCGTCATGGATTCTATAACGCTTCGGTAAGAGAATTAAGTAAAATACATCCCCTTGGGGGATGATGCGTCTCATATTTTGTACTTTGTACACGCACGCACGTACACACAACACACACATACACACAAAAGTGTCTAGATATATAAATAGAATTGCCCTGTAAATTTGTCGCTGCATAACAAATTCAGCTTTTGCTTCTTGTTAGTTCTAGTATGTGTAGAATAGATATTTGGCACAGGCAAAGTGGTTTCCTACCATACAGTAACAGTCAGCTTAGAAGGATACTTTCTTTCCACAGTAATATTTACCGTAATGAACATTACCCTTTCGTCTAATACCCACAATGTCACTTGGGTCGGGAGGATTGTGGTTAACATAATTAACGTTTTAGGGCAAGAATATAATATGTCCATCTATCTATCCTCGGATAGACTTATTTTGTGTGTTATGAAAGTCCTCTTTGTCAAGTATTCGATTCTAAGCTATCTTCTTCCGTCCTGTCGACTTATAATAGCGCATTTGGAATAAAACTTCAGAAACACGGACTCTCTTTCGCTACTGCCGGCTACCTACCTACGCGATCGTATTCCTCGCTTCGGAGATGCAGAATTTTTTTTGTTTCTACGTGAACGCGACTCACAATCAGTGACGTGTCTCAATGACTCAATTGTTGAGGTCATTGATGGCCTGTAAGATGCGTTTAACATGCCCCACCTTGGTGATGCCCAGCTCCTTTAGATCTCGACGGGCTAGGGTCAATAGCTCTCTACCGCGTATATCGTGAGACACAAATTTCTCAGCGTATTCTCCCAGCTGTAGATTCTCTAGCCAGGTGCATACCTCCTGCACGCCCCACGTTGTGACCTGATCTCGTGCCGGATGACCCGCGCCGCCCGAGTTGCCAGCGAAGCGACGGAACTTTAACCAGAACAACCCTCGATGACGATTTTTTTTATCTCCCTGCAGATCCAGAGTTCGAGATGTTGGTTAGTACACGGTTAGTCAGATTAGTGGTAAAGCGGTATGCAGGGTATGCTATTTTATACGGCATACGTTAGAGACATCATGCTAATCATATGCAGGTGGAGATTTGCACTCGGGATTATGTGATAACGAATTCGTTCAGGCATACTAAAGTAGCTCTCTCGAATGGCCTATGGTCGTTTGCGATAGTGTGATTCAAAGTCGCGCAAGTACCGCAGATATAGACAGACACTTTCGGTATATACATTAATGAGACAATATATATAAGATATTCCATTATATATTTATTGCTCTGTACTTTATAGCAAGATTTGTATACATTCGCTAAAAGATACATCTCTCATGAAACTCATATAAAATCACGAAAGTTCCCCTCTCGTTGTTACAGCGCTAATTAAACAATGCAGCAAACTCTCGCGAAATCATGAGAAACAGCGGAGGCGCGATAACAAAAGCAAAAGTATCATAGCTATTAGCTTGCGTATAATTCAAGTGCATACTCGGATGTGTTGCGTTATGTGTTGCTAATATAACTCAAGATAGGTAGCTAAGCGTCGCTAAATATCGCACAATATACGTTACGTCTCATTTGTAAACTATAATAGATAATAGAACCGCAAGCGAGAATAAACAAATAAAAGCTAGGCAATCCCATCTCTCTCTCAGCAGATGTGATACATACATGCACGCACGCACATACACACGTGTACAAAAAATAACCAGCATCATATTTCGCTACACTGTAAAACTAAGTCTCCAAATGCTAATTCTATTTCTCTAATGGCACATAAGCATTAATACTTAAAAGCATATTACCAGCACTGGGATTGAGCACTCAATCAATCCGAAACAAAGCATAGGATAATTTATTAATTATAATTATCATTTGAAAACGACATTTACGCATAATGAATTTGTAAACTTCTCTCAAAAGAGATTGTAAAATTTTGTGTGTATAACATACATAAAGAGAGGTGCTTTCATAATATTACGTATCTTCGTGTTACCCAACTAGCCAGCTAGTTCTCTCTCAAAACTTATTTACAAGAATAGCGCTCTTAATAATCATCTCTCTTTTGGAATATACTGGCAAGATGGAATATCGAATACGAATCAGATGGAATAGATAATGGAAGACTTTATCGTTAATTTTATCGTCTCAATTCGGTACGTTCGATTTTAATAACCTTGTGAAAAATTATTATCTACGTACTATAAGTAGAATAAATAGAAAAATTAATTGTACCTCCCTAAATCTCTCCATATAAAACTAATTGTTTAATTAAATTACATTTGCGAACAAATAGTTGAATATCTATGAAACAAACTTTTTTTTATACTTTAAGTATTAAATTTAGTTAATATTTGCTATTCCGTCAATTAAATATATATATAGTAAATATCACAAAATGTATGTATAAACTTTATCACAATGCAAGATACATGACAAAATACGTAACGATAGTTAATTTCATAACTTGTATCTTGAAATAATTGACTTAAAACAGCAGAGTGCATTAAGAAAGCATAAGAAAGAACTATACCTGATCGTCCATGAGAATATTTTGCAAGTAAACCAGTCCTGTGCCTCCTTCGTCAAAGGTACACTTTCGTAATTCCTGTTCCATACTCGCTAGAGATAGGGACAACTTGTTTTCTAAATCCTCTCGTAATTTCTGCATTATAGAGAGAAATAACTGCTGGTTTAATTCAATTCGTTATTGATATCTTACAGTAACAACATTTCATATGCTCACCAAATTATGGGCTTTATCTCGCAGTAACTCACAAGATTCCTCATACAATTGCCGCGCGCTTGATACCAACTCGGTCACCATGGGTCTCAGGCTTATCTATTAACAAATAGAAAAACTAAGAAAGTAAGTAAATGATAGTCGTAGTAGATTTCTAATATTCCCTGATTAAAACTCACCCCTTGCAAGATTTTACCGTCCGGATGTACTTGCTCAAGCGCATTTGCTGTTCGCGAGGCTACTTGGTACAGATCTGGTTCCAGACTTGGATGTGATATAATTAGCAGTTTTACCCACTTGACCAAGGTCGTTACGGCCTCAATGAAATTGAATAGAATGTTGAGTTCCTCATCGCTCAACTGAGGAGGTTTACTACATATTTGCAACTGTGCCTGAGACTGCGATTGCGATGCATTGCTTATAGTGGAAGTGGATTGAGTTACGGCGCTTAACGTGCTGCGCTGCTTCTCCTCCCATGCTCTTAATGAGGTTTCGAGTGCCTAAGATACAAAATATTTTCTCGGTTATATAGACAAATCAAAGCTACGTTTCCCCACTAAGGAACTATGACAGATACTTACCCTATTTCTGTAAAGCATTTGCATGCGATTCTTGTGTATAATCCTTATAATACCAGGTGGTTGAATCCAAGCCTCACCATCGACCTGTATAGGAACACCCTCTTCCCCCAAGATATTAATCTGGACCGTCTGACATTGGGCTATCCTGTGATGCTGCAAATTGATGAGCCGCGAAGCAGCCATTTGAACAGATCCGAAAACTGCCACTACTTCCAATATGCGATCGTCGAACGACGGTGCTAAGAATAGATCCCCTTCCTTCGTACCTCCCCAGAAGTTTGTACCGCCCATGAAACTGCCATTGGAGAACAAACGTTTGCGTTAGATCATTAAAAATTGTATATAGATATACATATTTATTGTCACAGGTACCTCGGTATATTTAATACAACGATCCCTTGCAGAGAAGGTAACGGTATCCTTTGACCATCGCACTCCAGCTGAACTCTCTGCTCAAGATTTTTGTAAGTCTTCTGTATCCACTGTTTAGATCCCAAGACACCGTACCACATGTAGTTCTTGGCGCGCGATCGACATTTCTCAGGGTGCTCCTCTCTCTTATTGTGGAAGTCGAGACTGATCTTCGCGTCTATGCCGATACCGAAGTAATTGTTCATGACGCATCGTTCGAAGTAACCTTCCCTGTGATACAGAGAAAAAAGGTTCGTGAAATGTGTACGCATGTCAAATTTTATATATATATATATATATATATATATATATATATATATATATATATATATATAAAATAACGTGTGAATTACATCAATGTTTCATCTGGATCCATTAAAGGCGATACCGCTGCACACAGAGCATCCGCATTTGCCAGCAATGCTTGACTGATGAGACCAGCTCCGCCACTTACATCTATACATTTACAGGAGACACATAAATATTCATATAATATGGGAAAGATTACATTGCATTTCAACATTGCATTTTTGGCTTACTTGGCCACATAGGCAATCGAACCAAAGGATTTATAATAGGAAGTTTTTTCACATCCTCCGTCTTATCCACAGATTTCGCTCTTTCGTGGCGCAAGCTCATGCTCGAGCCACCTAGACGAGCGGTAGTTGCAGCCAACGACACAACTTCCGATGCCTTCAACAAACTGCCACTGCTTATACGCCGTGTAGCTTGCGGAGAGAAGCCAGAGTCGGGCAGCTCCACGCTTACTACATTGTGAGAAACATCATTAAGATCTAAGAAGAATATGTAATTGCCGTGTAATAATAATTCAGTTGATCAAACTTACGCCTTTCCATACTGTTGCCGCTACTGTATTGCTTGTCATGAGGATCTAATTTATTATCTAAATTAAGCTTGTGATGACTCTCAATTGACAACGATGGGCTTGGTGGATCAACGAAAACACTGATCTGTGGCGGAAAATTTATGGAACATTTCTCATTGGTCTGCGTGACGGGAAAGCATACCGGTACTACGTTCGTCTCTACAGATTGCGTCGACTTAATCCCTGAGACACGTACACACGTTGTCAAACCGTCCGTTTTATATTTACTTAGCATTGCCTGATAATAGAAAACGCATTAATTTCACACATTTAATGTAAATCTAAAAACCAAAATACTCATTTACCTCTTTATCCGTCTTCATATTTTTTGTGCTCTTCTTGAACGATTGTCTTCCGATGTCGTTACCTTCGTTGAATTGAGCTAAACCGCAATATCTATGCGACTGTTCGATCTCTAAGCCTTCTCTGACAGAATCATACTTCTCACCCATTATCGCGCTGATCACATCTTGTCCGAGGGAGCTTAAATCCTCCAAACCGCTTTCCGAACGTTGAGTTTCGCTGGAAAGCATATCGGAATTATCCGGCGAGTCAATGTGTCCGATATCCGAGCTTTCCGATCTTTTCGTGGAGTCGAATATATCGCTGTCTATATGCCCTGAAAAGTGTGAGAGAAATTATCTAATAATTAGATATGAATTACATACAAAGTAACGCTTCTACAATGCTTGTCACATTGGTGAGTACTCGCTTACCAATTTCGCTCTCGCTATTTCGCACGGTGTAACTCCTGGAATCAAAAGTTTCGGAAACCATGCTATCTGTACTGACGATACTGTTAGTACAGCTACCTCGGGGTCCCAATTTGGCTATCGCGGGTTTTTGCACGTGCTCCGGAGAAATGTTTCTAGAATGAAGCGAATCCGTGTCAGGAGAAACGATAGTATCTTGCATGGTCTCATCGTCTGATGGTGTACTTGTATCTAAAACGTCCTTTGTCACGGTTATAGGACCGTCGGAAGAAACTTCTATTTGCGTCGGTTCAGACGATAGGAAATTATTTTCGTTAGTAGTTGCCTGATCTTCTTGTTGATTACCGGCAGTTTGTGCCGCAGCCAGGTCAAAACTGAAAACTCTAAAATTATATCGAGATTCGTGTAACTTTAAGGATCCAAGTACTCATAATACGTTATCAAGTTCAAAGTTACCCCTGTGGTATGTTTTCGCTGTTTCGTCTACTGTCGGCGAAACCGTCGGGTGCAGGAAGAGTAAGTAATTCTTCAGGTTGCGAGTCTCTCCTTAAATCCGGCATTGGGCTCAAAGATGCCACGTTAGGAGTAGGACTTGGGCAAGGAGAAATCTCTATGCTGCTACCGGATTCTACAGTCGGTATTAAACTTGCGTTGTCGGTTTGATCTGTTTGCGATAAACCAGGGATATCTAATTGTTGCTTTTTGCCTAAATTATACATAATAGTATGGTTTCAGGAACCATAAGAATATATGCAAACCACTGCTTTACCGTTAGATATAAAAAACTTACTTGTCACAATATTTATTGGAGAACCATCGGATATTATGGTGATATTTGGCATCTTACCGCCTTGCTTCTCGATCGAAGGATTGTTCTGCTCGTCAACAGCCGTTTCCGTGTGTTCCACTAACCTCCTGATAGCTCTTTTCAAGCTGTTTGCTCTATAAATATCATAAAAATATATATATATATATCTTTTTACCATTTCGTAGTACAACGTTATAAGTATAATATGCTATACCTAGACATCACAACATCTCTCTCCATGTAACATCTTCTTCTTTTAACTTTTTTTAAATTTGTCATTTCCTTCTCTGGCTTTTCTAAAGCACCTTTCTCCTGGATACTACTAAAAGTTTCAGTTTTTAGAGTGCCAATGTCAGTTTCTTCTGTGTCGTCGGATAAATAGCTTTCCTCTTTCGATAATGTTTGCAATAAGAGGTCAAGTTTTTGTTGAAGTATTGTGCATTTTTCTCCCAATTGTTGGTCCCCTGTGTTTAGACTGGCTTCCAGTATATGTGTTGCAAATTCTTTTACTGTTTCACATAAAACTCTGTGGGAGGAAATCTCTGTTTAAATGTCAAAATTTAAAGCTTATGCAATTCCATGCACACATTTCATGCACGTCCCCTCCCCCCCTTCTCACATACACACGCACACATACACGATTATACCACTCACTTGGCACTAGATATAACTACGTTCTCCTGATCAGATTGCAAAATGTTCGTTATATGAGCAAGAACGTTGTCTTCATACTGATGAGCTATGCTCGATTTTATAGCCGGGTCGGGCTGAGTCACTTTGTGACATGGCAGAGATATGCTGCGTTCGAATGTCATAATACTCCATCGGTCCAGCATCTTCGTGCTCGCTTTTTCATACTTCTCCAGTAGCTGAGGTAAATGTGTGTCATCGTCGCACGACGATCCCCAGCCTAACACGCGCGCCAAGTCATTTCCAGTCCCTAAAGGTAATACCCCAACCTGACATTGTTTCTGCAAATTTGAAAAATATAAATATACCTCTCTCCGTTCCATGCAGTGCATTAATAGTATATGTTAATGAAAGCTATAGATTAGATAGACAGATCGATCATGCACATGTACACTTACCGCCTGCAAAAAAAGTTAACGAAGCTTCGCGTATATAAAGAAGCCTAAAGCACACACACCGGTTTCATCTGAAATAAAATCATAAAAGAGACACGCCATGCAGTTTATAATCGGAAACTTGAAAAAATTAATA